ATATATATATATATATATATATATATATGTGGTCTCTGCAAATTTATGCCGTAGTTTCGTACGCACTCATAAGGTGATATATTGCCTTCAGTCCTGTGTTCAATTTAAATCTGAAATTATGTTTGTTTGTTGTTGTTGTTTTTTGTTTTTTTTGTTGTTGTTGTTGCTTTAATGTTTTCCACGGATAAAACTGCTTGCTAAAAATATACCAGAGTTCGAATGCTAGTATACTGCTACTATTTATTTGCGAGTTGAAAACACATTTGCGGGATGAAAGTAGTAACCCTTTATTGTTGAAAAGTTGGATTTAATTGCATTAATGATATAGCTAAAAGCATATATTTTATTTCTGATGTAAGTAGTACATATTTCTAAATGAGAATTGGAATCTAATGTTTTATAGACAATCGAATATCAATATATTGTCATTAAATATTCACTGCAATGTGGATTCTATATGGCAACGTTACGCGTCCCAGTTGTTACCACTTCTGGAAAAAAACTAGAAATACATAAAATTACAAATGAGAGACTAAAGTAAATATAAATTAATTAAAATGCAGAATATTAAACCCTTCTGACATTACAATAAATAACATTAAATTAACTTTCAAAATTGTAAATTAGAATTTCCCGCTCTACCAGTTCGCAAAATCGCAACAAGGTGATATCAAATTAGTCAAAGGCTTCTCATTATCGCCGGTCGTGATGATGATGCAGATAATATTGTTATGGAAGGAAATAGATTTAAGGAAGGTAATCTATTTACCTTAGAACTACAAATACTTCTACTTTAAATTTAGATCGCTTATTATGGTATTAAAAAATTGTTAGCACTCTTCGATGCAAGGCAAGCTTGTGTGAAATTATTCTTTCGTTCTTGTATAATGTGCGGGAAATACTGTAACAGATTTATTCACATTTGTTTCATTTGTAAAAGTAAGAACTGAGTACTGTTCCCAATGATCGAAAAAAAACCGCAGATTTTGCACCACAGGACTTCTCTTGAATTGGACTTATTCAAGTTACAGCTGAATTGTTAGTAGGGCAGAAATTGAAATATTTCAACATTACGCAGTAACTATTTCCAATAATTCCAAGAAAGTATCTGTTGTTATGTGAACTATTTTCCTGTATATCATTAAAAAATCCAGAAAATACGACTGTTGTCGATTTGTCTTGTAATAAAAATAGGAGTATAAAGTAAAATAAGAGTATCCCATAGACCTGCGTCTTTATACTTAGCAATATTTCAATAGAGAAAACATTTTCAACTGTTTCAAAATTCATTTAAAAAAATCTTAACCCTATTTTAATACTCACACTATGCGTATCGACGCAAAATTTCTTCGAAAGTACACATTGCAAACCAGGCGATCAGAGAAAACAATCTTCCAAAGCGACTGTCCTTTTTACATTAAAAAATCCAGCACTCTTCACAACCAAATTTTGGATTAATAAATCTTATATCATACAAAATAAATTTACCTAATATTCTAAATGGTACATTCAATACACCCAAAAATGGACATAACTTCTATTCCATCAACATGCGTACCTATATTACAATGATATTCAGACATACAACTAGCCCTTCCCACGGCCGGTGGGCCCCAGTGCTTTGCGTTGTAAGCCTGTAGCTCTATGTATCTTTGCTGTACTAAAACTTACGGGGAATAGGCAAATGCTCGCAACGTAGACGCACGCATAGCACAGCGCAACCAGTCGGATGTCTCGTGCTTCACAATATTATACGTCCACAAGCGTGACGTCACGTATCGGTACGTTGCCTGTCGTTCAACTAAGCGCAAAAGAGAGCAGCTGGCGGGTGATCTTTTATTTCAAAATGGTTTCGTTATTGCTATTGCAACAATATTCTATTACTGAATGACATTAAATCGAAAGACGAACAAATATTTTAGGACTATATGAGGGTTGAGCAACCATACAACTAAGCACAAGATACCTCTGCATGAAAGTATGACTGAAATGATACATAATTGGTAGGACCACAATGAAAAAAAGGAAGGTGCTTGCGATTGTTTGCAAGGCATAGTGTACAACAATCTCTCAACTACTCTACAGGACTTTTTACCATCTGCACATACAAAGTTTGAGTTGCGGGCTTCCTTTTTCTGGGGGAAGGCGGTCCATAACTTCTATTGTAATTGTTTTGTACTTTTATTGTAATTGTTTTGTTAATGAAATTTTATCTTTAACATTATATCTGGAAATAATTTCATGTTCTTAATAATATACATTTTCATGTAATTTTGATAATAAAATTGTCATATGGCTTCCATATTGAATCTCAAGGAGGATAGAAGGTATAATATAATGGTATTATATAATTGTTGCCAATAACACGAGAAAATTTGTGCTGTTGGAGCACCACTAATTTAATTAATATGGAATATCATAAAACCACATATTTGTACACAAAATAAAATATTTGGAGTTAAATAAATAAAATTAGTTGGAATGATTCTACCAAATCATGATTCATTAATTAATTATTGGTCACTTTAACTAGGCCACTCCACTGAAAGACGTAATGCAAATTATGTACTGTATATGATCAGTCATAGCTCATTAGTATGCAATGAATCAGTAATCATAATCTACAGCAACCTTGATTGCTAGCTTCTTATAGCAAAGTGTGATTTAATGTATTTGCAATATACATCATGGAAGTCTGTGAGAATGAGAAGTGTAAATTTTCAGCTCATTTTAATGCTAAAATAAATTCACAATCAAATTGACTTCTCTTCAGTAATCAATGGCAATGGCAAGACTCTGACCTCTACAATTTACGTGAAGCAACCTTGAGTCTGACCAATACAAAATTACATTTTTATGCCAAAAAATACGTACAAGTATGTTCCCATCCTCTCACTCTTCCCAAAAATGGAATAGACAAATTTAAGAAATGTTGAGTTCATTGCTGTTCATTCATTGGAATGCAAGGAGACAAGACTACTGAACGGCTTTAAACCAAATTTGCTTCTGTTGTGGAGGGGCTAGTGGCAAAGATGAAAGTGTAAACAACTCATTAAACTATACTAATGTAGGTTATTTCAAATCCCATGCTTTTGAAGAATTAGAAATTTAATTTCTTAAAATTCATTATTGGTAAAGTACAATATCCTACATTTCTTATTCATTTACAGTGGGTACAGAGAACTTGAAGGCTAAATATACAACTGAAAAGAAGTGTTTCCATTTCCCAACACGTGAAAACTTTTGTACCATTATAAAATGTATCCTTTACCCATTGATTAAAATCATTTTTTGAAAAGAAAACTGTTTATCTATTCCATCCAATTAATAGACAGCAAAAAAAAAGATACCCTTCCTCAAAACATAGTTTAAGTAGAGAAAGTAATAGCCTTGTATATTTATTTATGAAGTTATGTTTGTAAAGAAAAATCTAGTAAACAATGACACACTTTACAAATTTAACTCAAGCTTACACCCCTATAACACAAGGCAAGCATGTAACCTTCATCAACCAATGTGTACAAGCACATTATCCCAAAAGAGTACATTCTATTCAGGTATACAATTCTTCAACAAATTACCAATACATCTGAGAAACACGACAGACTTGTACAACTTCAAAAAAAAAAACTTAAACACTTCCTTGGGGAAAAACTTTTTTATAGCATTCAGGAATACCTCAATCACTGACATGTGCAATGTGATTTCAGGTGCTGTAGTAGGACTAGGTGTAGAAATGGGAAAAAATCTGCCCATAACCTGCCTCCTCCCCATTTCAAGATTTTATCAAGGAATATACTAACACTATTGAAACATATGTAGCTGTTACCATAATTGTTATTATTTACTGTTAGTATACTATTATTATTATTATTATTATTATTATAAGTAGTAGCAATAAAATCACTATATCAAGAAAATGATATTCTAAAAATGAAATGGTATAAATCTTGAAATGTTAAAATATTTTAAATTAAATTAAAGTAAGTCAAATGTTCATCTAATTGCAGCTAAAAATAATTATCTTCTATGTAATATCTTAATATATCTGTAACAAGTATTGTATCATCACTAGGCCAATGACCCAGTTTTGATCAGTTTTTTTGTCCAGTTTCCCTGGTCCTCAGCAAATGCTGAGATGGCCCCTTGTTTTGCTTCTGGACAATAAAAATAAATGTAACTTCATTCACTGCTCCCAAGACGTATGTATATCATATTTGACACAATTGTAATTGTATATGTGACTTAATAAATATTATTTTTATTATAGTGATTGAGTCGAGAGGGCATGATGGGAGATGTGAAGAAGGCAATGTTTCCTAATGCACTCACAGAAAAATTAAGCAAAAACCCTCACCTGCTCTGTGTTTGGTCTTTTGAGACTTCAACAAACTAGCTGGCAGTTCCATATCAAAGAAACAAAAATTTTAATGTAGATGAATATTTCCCTTGAATTAAAAGCCAAATTTACTGCTGCACTGCAGTTTCTTAAAAAATACACTTAATTTAACAATTAATATTTGTTTAAAATTTCCATAAGGGTTCACAATAAACACTTAATTGAACTCTATGCTCAGCATTTAATTATTTACATTACAATTGCCTCGCAAGTACCAAATTGTAATAAAATAAAGATGCAGACTCAAAATTAACTTGCAGATACTGTGTGTAAATATTTCATATTATGCCAAAATAATCATAAGACAAGAACTACCAGAAAATAAAGAACTAATATTAATGACTGACATGCCTTGTAAATCAATTAGAGTTTGAACTTATTGACATAAAAAATAATAAAAATTAGACACTTGGAAATATCAATTCCTTATTTTAATGAAAGAAACAGTTTTATTAATTTAAATGTCTAATACAATAAATGTCTGAAACAACTACACAAAAGTCATGATTTTTCAAAACCAACCACAAATACATTTCCTGTAAATACAATTGGCTTAAAATTATAACTTGGTACTTGTACATATTAAACTTTTACTTAACACACTCATTTACAATATAAATAAACAAATTATTTTCTTAATGCTCTTTTGCCTTCTCCTTTTTTGGGTTTCACTTTTCCACGCAACGCACGCTGTCTTTTCATTTCTTCTTTGAAATCTTGATGCTCATCGCGATAAAGGCCGTAATTCCGCAAATGCTTCATTAACAAGTAGGTCTCCACATGTCGTGGGTAGTAATCGACCACTTCTGGACGTAACTGTACAGGTTTTTCGCTTAACATTTTCACAACTTTCATTGATTTGCTGTTCGTAGGGCGGGATACTTCTCCAAATATTCTACAACTCAAACGATTCATTCTTTTGGCATAGTTCGTTGCCAAAGCGGCAAGATCAACATATTTTATCACATTTGCCATATCTTCAATAACGCAAGGCACAAACCTGGTTGTCAGCTTGCACTGTTCTCAAAATTCACACGGAAAATAAATTAGAAAATGTCTAAATTATTATTCAGTTCTCCGAAAGTTCTCGCCAAACAGCCTCCTTTAAACCATCATATCCACTGGCTATTAGGTTTTGGAAAATCCACGCACAAATCATATACTCTGCCAGTATATCAGGCAGGAACACCAGGTACAGATGATCGCTGATAATTCCTCCTAACGATGTTGTTTTGTCATCAAATAAGCAGGGCACTAGCGCAAGAGTAGCAATTTATGAAACTTAACTTTTAGAAATATAATTTAATAAAATGATTAACATTAATTTGATATGATTTCATTGTTATTTACATATCCATGTATTGATATTTGTCCATTAAATAGTCAAACATTCCATTTTACATACGTCACAAATTTGCAACTTTTTACTTAGGTTCCTTACGTTGTTTTCCCTAATTAGTTCAAATCTTCGGATGGAAATTACAATGTTTTCATTAGATCATATCGATTTTTTTTTTAAAATTGACATTTTCCTTATCTCGTAAATTACAAGCTTTAACCTTATTCTGAATCGGACGCATCAGAGTCAACATCTTTTAGGCTATTCTTTATTCTTCGTCGATTGCATTTTCTTCCAGAGCCTTTTGTTTTATTTAGTTCCCACGATTTTTCCTGTTGAAATAATGAGAATAATAAATAAAATGGGAAAAAGCAAACAATATCAAAAAAGATAGTACTACTTTCTGGTACAAAAGTGCAAAATGGTTTATTCCATAGGGTGGAAGAGAATGAAAAACCTCTATTTCAATTTCTGCCTATGCCCCCCCCCCCTTTTTTTTTAACATTGGAAAAAAACATTGTTTACAATATACTTAAATTTCATTTTTTTAACATGCATTCATTCAATTATTCTAAGAATAATATATTAAAATGAAGAAAATATGTTTTATAGTTTTAAACAAAATTACATCCAAAATGTGTATTTATTTTCAAACATCATTGCAGTAAAAAATTCACATAAAAATAAAAATGAAATTCAGCAAACACAGAAATGGAATGAAATTCTTGTATCTGAAAGGAAATGCTTCGTTTTTGTTCCATATTGGACAATGTTCACTTCCAGAAAATACATCAATACCTTCTTAGAAAGTATTATCTTTATCATTAAAGTGAACAAATTTCAAGTTTCTTCACATCAGCTCTCTTCTCATAACTCATGCAATTCACATGTGAATAGTGAGCAGTGTATTCATTCTTAAGAGCAATGTTTATTAATTTAATACAAAACCTCAAAGCATGCCCTTTTTTGCTTACACTTCTCTCAATACCATGTCACACACAGTTTATGTTTTATAAGTTTAAAAAAAAGTGGAAGAATTAATACAATCCAAAAGATTCAGAATGACATATATTACACAATTCTTCCTGCTTTCAAAATAAAACATCAGTTTTAACATCTGTATCACTAAAGGCACAAGATGCTAATTCACTGTTAATGCATTTTGAATGGATAAAGTTATTTACAACTCCTTGGCAACAATTTCATTAAAAAACAAAAGATATGTAATATTTAAGCACTTCAGCAAAATTTGTAAATTTCATTTCAAATTTCTTGATTTCGTTTAATGGTGGTAATGGATAAAATAATGAATGACACTCAAAAATAAAAATATTTTTAGACAGCCACCAATTAAATTAGTTTTCTTAGGGTGTGCATAGCATGCTTAGTGTTCAATTCTTAGCACTAACAATGAGACAACATTCAGATAAATCTTTGAATGCAACAAAGAAAACAAAATACATTTGTCTGACCACATGAGCTTCTTCTGATGTATTATCTAAAAAATTGAGTAAGGCTATTTAATATTGCTAGCTATTAGCATATTTTGTATTAGTGTTGGCCTATTGACCTCAGGTTGCAACATTTACAACCAAAATGTTACTTTTACCAATGGCATTATAAATAGTAACTTTGTGTATCAACATTATAAACAATGGCTTATGGCACCAAAAATTATACATAATGTGGAGGACTATCAAACTAGTTTAATAATACAAAATTCAGTCAATTGCATATTACATATTACTATATATAGTAAATTATAATCACTATGATACCTGTTTGAAGTTTCGGTAACTGAGTTTCTGGTTCTTACTGCAAACCTCATTCTCTGACAAAAGTAGATTTTTAAACTGTAAAGAAGTATTAATCATATATTAAGAATAAAAATGTCTCTTTAAATCAAAAGTACGACTAAAGATTTGTTTACTCAATAGTACTAAATTTTTTTTTAAAAAAGGGTCAAAAATTGAGGTTTTTTAAAAAGGATCGTCTCTGGAACTACTCATGTTCTGAATCTCAAGTTTTTCTTTTAAAAATATAGCTGGGTGATTGCATGAACATGACCATGGAGTGAAATTTAGAAATAGTCATACAGTCTTTTACGTTTAATGTGTTACAAATGATGATATCAGGTACATATACGCATCATAGATTTATTAAAGCAACACTGCCAGTAAAAGAAATCAGGACTTCTCAATCTATTCATAATCTGGGACTGTACAAAATAAAGATTATTTTGTAATGCAGGAGATCCAAGTTGCATTCAGTGAATCAATAAAAGTGGTTGGTGAAGCATTTTTGAAATATGATTTAAAAAGCTATGCAAGTGCAAGATCAGAAATTATTTATTGATGGTAAACTTCTTTTAAAATCGATAGTTCAAAACAAAAAATCACATTTTCATTCAAAGATCGATTATTACAATGATTTATATTTGTTTTTGTTTCAACCCCATTTGCCTTTTCAATTATATTTGTCAAACATTTTTGGGCATTCCCAGATGATTTTCATGTATTATGAACACAGTAATAATGTGTTCTTGTATATGTATAAGTAAAATCCTATCCTACAGTGTAAAATATTAACAATAATATATTTAGATAAATAGTTGCTAGATACTGTAATTCTTTTCAGTTTTTAAGGTTGCTTTTGCAATTCAGGCTACAATAAACGATTACAATAATGTAAAATGAAAATATTAGTTAATTTTCTGAGTTTAATATCATTATTTTGCATTTGAAAACTATATTATTTATCATGCATGGGCTAAATGCTTTCTGTGCTTCTTTTTAAAGAATTAAATTCTGGAATCACCCAGCTGTTTAACAGTCAATTTCCTGATTCTTTTTAATCAAGGGAAATATTGTTAAATCATGTAAGATGTTACTGTTAGGAGCTTACATTTTTAGATTCCTAATAAGAATAAGAAGTTTATGTGTGTGATAATAATATAGATTCATAGATTTTGAGAGAAACCAAACAAACTATTGAAATTTACTTCCAAATTTGAGTACACACTTAACAATCAGGCTCAAGAAAAACTGACTGAAATATTAAAGATAATCTTTACCTCCAAATATTGTTTTATCAATTCTTCATTACTTATATCCTTCATTGATTTCATTTCAATTAATAGTTTCAAATCAGAGTCAGTCATAAAATTGCAGTGGTTTTTAACGTTGAGTTCAATTGATGCTCTATGTTGTTCAGATGAGTAAAGAACGACCATCCTATTGAATAGTACAAATAATTAATAAATGTAATGGACAATAGTATTCAAATTAGTCTTAATTAAAAAATATTCAAAATAAAGCAGATAAAAAAAGCAAATAAGTTAAAAATACAACAGAAATAAGAAAATTTGGATGAGGCAGCCACTTATTCACTGAAGACTTTTATTTTGCCCAAACAAGTAATTACAGCAATTTACTTCTATCCATAAAACCTCAAGATCTACAGACTTTTCTGAGATTTCTCTGGATTTTTCTTTTCTAGTAATTTTATCTTCATTGCTGATTTTAATTTTATTTCATTTTTGGCATAATAAGCTTTTTCACCTCTAAGAAAATACATCTGAGAGGCCATATTATGGACTCACATTTCCAAACCAATACCAGTACTCATGTATGGATCAGAAGTTTGCACAATGAAAAGAAGGGAACGCTAGAGATGTGAGACCATGCAGTTGAGATTTCTACACCAACTCACAGGATTCAAATTAAGGGATTGATAAAGAAGTTAAGGTATTACAACAACACTTAAAACAAAGAATGTAGTAGAAGAAATAAAGAAAGGAGAGAAGAAATGTTTTTCACAAATGAACAGAATGAAGCAACAAAGAGTTTCAAAGAGAATATAGGAGTATAAAGCATTAGGGCAAAGAGATGTGAGGAGACCATGCAAAAAATGGATACATCAAGAACACTTTGAGAACTATAAACTCAACAGCTCTACTGGGAAACAGGATCAGATGACATGCTTAGCAACCTGCAATGTATGACAATGAAGACATGAATCATTATAAATTGATTCTTTAGGCTACATCAGAATGATGTTTGAGTGGCATGAGGGAGCTCTACACTGGAAATTATAACAGGAGAGTGGTAGTTACTGCAGGATACTCTGGTAGGTCACTTAGATTCCAATAGATGGCATATGAGAAGGGAATGAAGCAAAACTGAAAACAGAGGCTCAACAAGCTTAGATTCTAAAACTTCATGCTCATTTGAGAACAAAAGGCAAGACTAACAAAGCATGATAGAAAAATGTTTGGGTATCTGCTGCATTCTGTAATCTAAGAGTCCTCACAAAATCAGCTAAAGATCATGAAAAATTATAATATTTTTTATCATATTGATCATTTTTAAAAAAAATTTAGTTTTACCCCCATCTAAAACTTAAAGTCCATTTTCCGTTCTTGGTCACAAGAACAACAAACCAAAACATTCTATAGAAATTTTAAACGTCAATGTAGGCTTAAGGTACTCAGATTGATAGAAATGAATGTGGGGAGTAATACCAGAAAATAGACTGTTCTTTGTTTAAAATACAGAACATATCGAAATTATTTTGAATATTCTTCTCCCAACAGTTTGAGGAAAATAGGCTCAGATATTTGGCATGTCTTGTGATAATTGAGCAAAAGTGCCATGCCTCACTACTAGTAAGTATAAACACATATGGCAAAGAGACATATTTAACATGAAAAGCAGTTTAAACTGTGCATGACTTATGGGTGCTCTGTGAAAGTTTTGAGTGTGAAGAGCAATCTGTGCAAGTTTTTTTAAGTTAAATTCCTACTCTCACTTTTACCTTCCATTAAGTTGAATTATGATTGCAGGTAGACATGGTTGTTTTGAGGGAAAATCTGATAACAAGAAATAATTCTTCCAGTGAAATAAAATCTATGGCAAATGAGTTACAGATTTTGCTTTAGAATCTTAGAATTTGTTTAGGATTAAGGAGTCAGCTTACTAGCACAAGAACATCAAGACCAATTATTTGATGGTACTGTTCACAAAATAAATACATTCTCCACATCCCACAGGGTACAAGAAAATGAATGTAGAGAGTGAAGTATCATAGAAAGGCCAAATAAGCACCAAGTTGACTGATCAAACAGGATTAAGCATCATGATGAATACACCTGCAGTTTATAATGTTGATGTCATTATATACTTAGTAGATGGATCCGTGCAAACATTAATCAAACCAGATATCTCCCATCATTGTAGTAACACCCCAGCCGGGATAAGCTCTAAGCTCCTCACTGGTCTCCAGGCATGTGTGGTAGTGTAGTGCATGTAAGTGTAATGGGGTTTTGTGCAAATCAAAATTTGTAAAAAAGGAGTTTTGTACAAATAAGATATTTTAATAATATGAGCATTATTATTGTAGTTAAATAACTTTTTTGTTTTTTTTGTTTTAATGATGGTTAGGAATTTATGTGGATTATTATAATTTAATGTTACAGCAATGGATTATGTGTGTGTGAAAGTAAGAGTGAGGGTAGGGCAAGAGCAAGGAAAGATTGAACATGGTCCATGGTTCATTTGTTAGGGTACTGTTGCAGCATTGACCTGATGTTGGTCGTAGAAACCACGGAAAACTAGAGATCAGAGCAGCCGATCACTAGACTTCTCCTCCAGACAGCGGCTGAATTCAACCTAGCTGTGCAGCCAATGTCAAAAATCCTGCCACTGTTGGGACTTGTACCCTACGACCTCCCACTAGAGGCAATGCAGTGACATCAATTGATGCCCTAAGCCATCCGAACTGGTTCTTCACATTAAAAATCATTATTTTAAAAGATAAAAGTTTTTTTTTAATGTTCTTACCTATTTGAAATCCCGTAAGTTTGTTGTAAGTAATGTTTGACTTTAAGTAAAAATCGACATTGTTGGAAAGAAAGCACACATTTCTGCAAATTTTTAGTATTTTTTGGTAATTGATTCACCAAATCTTCAAATGTTTCAATGTTTTCATTGTCACTATCATTGCTATCACTTGGACTGCCTTCTTTTCGTATTTTACATTTTGATTCATTGGGTATTAATTGCTTCAACAACAATAAAAAATCAAGTTATTTATACATGCTCTTACTCAGCTCCAAATGAAATAGTTTTGTAAAGAAAAAAATATCATACCTGCTTGAAGTTTTCCAGAAAATTAAATCCTGTAGTTGCTCCAATCATATTTATTGTTTGCATGATAAACAAAATTTCATCCTCAAATTCATATGGAAGATATGCCAAATTATCAGACAAATACAGCAATTTATCTATATCTTCTTCCTACACAAAAATTTTATCAAATATCAGGTTCTCGGTCACATTAATTCATTTTTTGCCATTTTTTTCTGAACTTTTTATCTACAAAAAGTTGGCTACACATTCAGGAATAAGTTAACTGAAGGGAAAATAATTGGAAACTAGTGGCACTACAGAATGTCACAGACATTCTCGAACTAGTAAGTTTTCTATTTTCTTTGGTCTGCGCTAGCTTTACGATCTTGTCAGACAATCCTCTTGCCAGACATTTTTTTGAAATATTCTTAATTTCCCAATTTCCTAAAGGTAGAATCAATATATTACTTCACGAATATTAAAGAAGAGTAAAACCTTGTTCTATATGTCAATTTTCATTGAAAAATTTGGAGCCACTTTTAAGGAAATATTGTTTAAGTGTTAGTGTAAATGCCAAATTTGAAGCTCTTTTTCACTGAAAATTATTGACTTCATTGGAAGTCATTTAAAGCACTTCAATTCACAAATACAATAATGTTTACAAATCATACGAAATGTGCATATTAAAGGCATGAGAGATGTTTTAAAAATTACATTAGTGTAATTTTTGAAGAAACAAAAACAAAAGAAGCACACAAGCTTCCGCGGCTCGATTCCATAAATTCTTGGTTATCCGGGATACGCCGTGTCGTTGGCTGAGAGGCCGACATCTCGCAGGCTTTATCACGGCAGTGACACTGTGGTACCTCTTTTTTATTTTTTTATTATTTTCGGTTTCCCCGGTAGTTTATTTTTGCATATGGGGGAACATTATTTAAGCTACAGCCGTTTAGGCTTTTGCAGCTGAAAGTAGGGCCTATCTGAAATGTACTAACTTACAATATAACTTAATCCTACCCCATAATCATCTAATGTTGGAGAGTAGGAAGAGGTAAGAGAATATATTTCATAGACATTGAGAGTAGATTTCTTCTCACTGAAGATATATCTCAGTATGAAAAGAAAAAAGAAAGAAAAAATTTAACATTGATACCATATGTGATCTTTTATTACAATATCTAATCCTGAGTGTTTTGTATGTTATGAGAAGTATTTTGATCTAAGATCTTTTAGGTATCCTATGACAAAGAATACAGGTAAAACTATGATATTCTTCCTTAAATTTTTAAAAAGTATTACATGTCCATAAATTATGTACTTACTGTCTCTGTAAACTGATTCAAAATTATGCGAATGAAATGTCTTCTTCTGAATTTCTTTCGTTGCACTATTTTATACAAATGAGTTAGTAATGCATGTGATGGACCATCTGTTCCTATATACCCACGGATCACTTGGCTTTGCTGAAGGATAGATTGTAGTCCATAGGATAAATTAATACCCACTTGCATTGTAAAGTCAAAAACACCAGGATATGTACAGTCAACTTGTTTTAAAATGCTGCATGCTTCATTGCAAATAATAGAATCATTATCTGTTGTCAGAGCAATTACATGGGCCATAATCTAAAAACAAAATTGTATTTTGATGTTGCACAAAGACAAAATTTGAAAACTAGACAATTCTACTCATAATAGAAGGGGCCTGGACAACTTAATGCTAACCCACTTGTCATAAATCTAAAATAAATATCTAAGAATTTCTTTGAAAACTAGAATTAAGAGCCAAACATTGTACAAATGTAACACAATGTAGGCTTTCAAAGCCAGTGTCCATATTACTCGATGTTTCTGGGCTTGGAGGCCACGGTCCAAAGGAGAATACTCCAGATGTTTTGCCTGGAACTGCGGCAGGCAGTTTCAGTGGCGATGCTGGTGGGGCGAAGTGCTCTACCCTGAACCTCACCTATCATTGCAGGAATAAATATGAGTCCCAGGACCACAGGAGAATCAGTCGTCACTGTGCTGTCAGGTAGAACAGGTCTGGAATAGTCTCCTTTGGACCACAACCTATTAGACTGAAAACAAAGAATAATATTGTACAAATGTGTTCATAGAACAAGAGTGTGTGAGAACATGAGAAAGCATCAAGAAGTACATGTACAAAAAATGAGTGATATCAAGATTTGCAAAACTACCTCAAGTTGAAAATTTTTTAAATGTGGGTAGCACTATTTTGCCTGGACCACTTTAATTGATTATAATTATTAAATATATTTGTAGCTGGACTGGTGCAAAAACTTGGCACTTAAAAAATAATTGATTTAAAAGTGGAAATTACACCATAGTAGAACCCAACTTCGAACAGCCTACCCCTATGCTTTACAGCATTTTAGGCCCAGTATTGAGTGAGGGTAACCATGCTAAGCTTTGAAGTTAAATTGAAAAGAAAATTAAACATTAATTAATTTTATCATAAAAGATTATTTCTCACTTTTTCCTTCACGTTTTTGTCAGCTTATTTTTACACAGATGTCATGTTTCTAAACTTTTCTACTACTCTAGCATCCAAAATAACTAGATCTCCAAAAATGTAAAAGGGAGTTAAAGAAGTCTCATTTCGTAGAATACAATCCCTCCCTATTCCCTTTCATTTTCCCACCTATCCTTTATCATTCTACCCCTCAAAACTAATTTCTCCTTAGAACTCACATGACAGCCCAAAACCTGTCCCTATGAGACACAAATATCTACTTTTAAAAGGTTAGAATGGATCATTTCAAGCTTTGTGTGATCATAATGTGCTGCAGTAATCTGCTTTTAATGTCATAATTGGCAAATTTTAATTTTTTCCACCTTAAATCAGTTGGATGCAGGAGTGGGGAGGAATTGCCTATCCAGCAGCACCACACTTAAAAAGGTTTTATGTTGACTGTTTTTTAAAAATTGTCAATAACTGTCAGCATCCTTTAAGTCGTATAGAGAGGATTATTACATTGTTAACAAAAATTATTTTAAAAAACATTTTACATCAATCTTAATGCATATGGATAATTGTATTAAGGTAAATGGATGATCGTGGTTATATATACATCTATGTATGAATGGGTATTTACTCCTCAAAAACTTTTGAATCAGTAGAGTGTTCACTACCTAATTTTGTATTTGTTCTACATTTGTTTTCAGAAATCTAAACATTGATACTGTCGGAACTCAAACCCTAGAACCTCCCAGTCAGTGACATTAGATGATGCCATCAGCCGCCATTGCTGGTATAGTAACAGATAAAGCGAGTTAAATTGGGATCAGCTTATTTGCAGAGACAGGAACTACATTCACCAACACTAACCACCACATGGGATGCAGTTCAACAGCCAAGGAATTATAATACTCTCTGGTCAGAATCGCTGCAGAGGCAATGGTACTGCTAACTCTTGAGATAACTCAACAAGTCTATTCAAAATTAAATCCATATAGTGTCAGTGCAAAAAGTGTTTGTACACTTAAAAGATAAAAGATAAATGTCTATTAGTATTCAACACACAATCTAATAAATGTGTTAATATTAAATCCAAATGAATATTAAATTTAATGTACAGTGTATGGAAGAAAACTCTAGAAGACAAATGTAAAACTATCTACAAATAACACAAAATATGACAGGGATGCAGACTAGGCACAGAAAGTGAAGATGAAGTCGTTATGAATGTATTTGCCACCTCTTATGACTTCTGGAACTTAGTGTAGCACTGATAAGGAGCACTGCGTGGTCAATCCTCAGTATGAAGTTGCCAGCACACAGCAGAGTTGAAAACAGGTAGCAATTGTCCATAAATTAGTGATTTTACAAGAAAAGTATAGGTAATTAACCATTTTGAACCACATCCAACAATGCAATTAAAAATTGTTAAATTTAGGTTCATAAAACAGTGAGAAATTGTTCCAGAAGAAGGAGATAAGAACTGTTCAGTAAACAAGATAAACAATTTGAGAAATAAAGGTTGTCTCCCAAAATGAAGAGAAAATTTGAGAAAACATGAGATTGAAGTGTCAGCTATTAGAGAGCTAAAAAGGTGTAAGATAAAATGGTATGATGCCCAGAAAGTATTCTGAGGTGTAAAGCAAATCACCTAAAACAATTCAATTTTGTAAAGGAACAAAGTGTAGTAATCAAAGTAGAGAAACCAGTTTTTGGAATTCAGTGATATTTTTAGAGAAAAGCAAAAATAAAATGTTGGCTCTGACAAAAATGAAATGATGCATGGTATGGTGCAACACTGTTGGGCAGAATTGCCCCTTGAAATCTTGTGCCATCAGCAAAATATATGGTGGTCATTTTATACTATTCAGGGGGTGTTTGAGTGCCTCAAGAGTGGGTTACCTGAATATAATCAATGATGTGATGAAACTTATGATATACTATGTTAACCTCTCTAAATTAATGTGCTGGACATGGATCTAGAAAATACTTAACTCATGATTCAACAGAATAGTCACCCGAAATGTAAACTTTCAGTTTTCAATTGTGCCCACTTTACAACCCAGAAAAAAAAAGTTAAAATAACCCTAATGATATCATTGGATTGTTCTTGAAAACAAAAATTAAAAATACAGTTTGTCTCATAAACAAGATCTTAATTGTACTCCCCTAAGATAAGGAATTATATTAACCCCACAACTATGGTAAAATTGGTGGCCATGCCACAAAGACTGCAGGCAATAATTAAAGTGAATTATATGAGGTAATAGTTTGTTAAACATAAATGTACAATGACTTTTTGTGTGTACAAAAAAGGGTATTTTCTTTTGTTTGTAAATAGCAGGGGATTTATAATACTTTGAGCTTGGGAAAGTGAGGGAAATAAAAGCAGGTTTTCTGTAGTATTAACTCTTAATACCCATTTATTTCTGTAACATCGCATTCATATTTCATTCAATTTTTGCTCCAGTTTCCTAGGTATACAATGACTTTTTGCACTCACTGTATACTACTTTTACAATAATTTACCTAGTGCAGAATGTTTGTAAGGGTAGAATTATATTGAAATTGCAAGATGCCTTCATTTCTCAGTAAAAACTTGTGTATGAGCATATTCTGGAAGTGTAATACCTTTTGCGGAGGAACTAAACCATGTTGTACAACAAGCTTCAGAATACTTGCAGACACACAACGAACACTATGATCTTCACACACACAACAACTTGTAATTTGCTCCAAATATTGTTGAATAATTATAATTGTCATATTTGAGTTTTCATCCTCATTTTGTAGTCTTAATGTTTGTTTCGTTGAAGAGACAACGTTTTCTGGGCTTGTCCCTGTTAATGTATATGAATTTTAATATTTTAATAAGAGAAAAGCCAAAACACAAGGTTCATAATACCTTATTTCACCTTCATCAACACCAATTTTTTTCAATGAATTCTCACTTACATTTTTTATCCTTCTCAGTCATTTGCGATTCTTTTTCCAGGATGTATTCCAAATTCTTGAGAACCTTAAAAATAAAAGATTTGAACAGAATAGCTCTAGAAAATGGTAAAATGCATGTTAAAAAAAATGTAAAGAAAAAAATTCAAACTATTTTACTAAATTTGTAATGCTATAATAAAAATAAAATATTTTAGTTTGTAATACTATAATAAAAATGAAATATTTAAAATTAGTTATAAAGAAATCAAATTTAATTATGATTAATACCTGACATTTCATACGTTCTTCTACATTTTTTGAAGTGAGAATGTTTTTATAAATAACTTTTAAGTTGTTTCTCAATAAATAATCAGAATGATGATAACACATTTCTCCCAAAGCTATAAGTGTATACCATTGTATCGAAGAATTTGATTTTCTGAGAATCTGAATAAACGTGTTGAACACATTGTCAATTATTTCTTCCTGCAATGGGTAAAGCAAATAAACACTTATGACAACTGTCATCAAACTAATAACTGCATAGAGTTTGTCTGTGAAAAGGCTGGGCTGTAGTCTAGAGAGTTCTAAATATAATTGACGGAAAACTAATTGATGGAAGTGCTCTCATAAGAGAGAACAACAGTAGCCAAATACCTCTTGCTTGGACCTGGGAACCCGCAAAAGCAAGCTTTTCTGCATGAGCAGCACAACTGAATGAATTTTATAAATTGTTCTATCAAAGAAAAGAAGAGAGGCAAATGCCTCTTGCTCAGGATTGGGACCCCTGAATGAACATTTCGTATTGGAACGGTAGCAGTAGGTACGAATGTTCAAGAGATTGTGGTGCGTGGCCGAAAAATTGTAATGGCCCACGCTCCTTCGATATATATATATATGGGTGTGAATTGGAAAGTAAAATGCTCCGCTTCATTCCAAGGGTGATATATGTCCTCTCACTGGGTTAGAATGGCATGGAACCAGCAAATCAAGCAGACACATTCTGCTGACTTTGATGAATTTCTCAAGGCAAGAGAGAAAAGGTACACAGCACTACAGAGAATGTGTGAGCCCTACCAGGTATATTTTGGAATGCCAGTTGGAGATCAGATAGATAGAAGGTATAGATACCTCATTACACCTGCAAGTTATCTGTATATTACTATAAACATGTTTTACCCATTTTTGTACACAGAAAGTTGAAAGCTCATTCCCTTGAACACAAAAGCAAATTTTAAAACTTATATTGTATATTGTCCTTCCATTGTGGTAACGTGGGGTATAAAACAGCAGGAAATAACATTCACTTGCCAAGGACAAAAAGTGTTTACATAGTGTACTTAATAAATTAAATTAAATTTAAAATTAATTTCTTACCTCAAAGAACTCTTGAGCATTAGAACTTGAAAAGTCATAGTGTTTTAGGAACAAACCTGTAATTAACAAACATCTTTGTATATAACTCTCTGGTGATATACTTTGATCTGAGAAAGAGAATTTATCTTCTGCGAATTTTTTTAGAGCTCCTGAAATTTAGAAAAAATAAGTATTGGTTATTACATTAATTGCAGTTCCTCTCTAAATTAGATCATTCTGTTGGTCTCTTACCAAAGAAAAGACTGAAGCAATCAAAAATAAGTTTGTGGTTTTCAGTAATATCCTTCACTAACAGAGTTAGACAAGGTACACATCTTTCCACAACTGAATGCTTATGCACAAGTATAAGTTTCAGTAAATCTTCTTCCAACTTGGTAAGAAATATTTCAGGGGGATTTTGATACAAAACCACTGTGTGCTGCAGAATACCAACAACAGAAATGATGATATTTTCATTTTCCTGAAACACAAAATCATGCAAATTTCACCTCCAAATATCTGCATCACAGATTATATACACATATGATTTCAATTTTAGCACAATTATTTTCATAATAAGTGTTCATAAAAGAATTAAATACAATCACATGAAAGAGAATTAAGACATTTATTTCATTTCCTCAAACTATCTCTTACTTGCTGGTGAAGTGAAAGATATGATTGTAAAACAGGTATATAGTCAACTAGAATATCAGGCACAGTTTCCGCTACTATATTTAGTACTTGAAGACATACACACAAATCCTCAGTGGAATTGTTTGCTTCATGGTCTAATAAATAATTAACAAAACATTCAACAAACTGTTTACAATTTTTGACAGTTCCTTTTGTTCCAAGAAGCTGCAACAGAAGAGCATCATAATACAATTAATACTATAAGCAGAAACTTTTTTTAAAATAAAAGAAATAAATTGACCCTCAATTTTTTGATTTGTTAGTGATTTTCATAATTCACAAGATTCTCCCAACTGTCCCAATCAATTAAAATAAACAAATGTGTATTTTTTAATCTATTATTTTATCTTCCAAGGTACAGAACTTCCCTGCAAGTTTTCAAAATACTATTATTTACAACACTTCTGATTTAATTCAATTTTCTATCAGCTGCCCAAAAATACAAAGTAATTTCTGGGGAAAGGGATAAGCCTTGAAAAGAAACACATAACTGCTTAAAATAATATCATAAAAGCCAAAACTCATTCAAATTCAATGCCAAAATGAAGGCTATGTGAAACATTATAAAACAAGTAACTACTATGCAAAAAATAGACACAAAGTCTTTTAAATAGTTGATAATAGAGTGAATCATCTCAAAAACACTGCCTACATTTTCAACAAACTCATCTTAATACAACAATACTGCACAAAATTGACAAAAAGTATTCTACCTCACAAAGGGCTCTACCTATATTATCTAGATACCTCTTGTTAATACACAAAACTACACAAGAAGAAAAATAAAATAAAAAAAAATCTTCAGTGGAAAAAGATATTCTTGATTTTATTGTGCCCCCCATATGATTCAAAAATCACTTATATATTCCATTTTATTGTTGGAGTGGGAGAAGAAACACTAAGGCTGTTCAAAGGGGCAAGTAGAGTAGATCACCTCAAGAGTTACCAACAGATGTTTAGTTCACAAGTTTAAATCAATGTACAGAGACCATATAATTGCATTCTGAATTTTACTTACTGTTAAAAGTAGAATTCAAAAGGGTCAGTCTTTATTAAACTATCTTCTTCCTACAACTACATTCTTACAAAACCTAGGACTAGTTTACCCTTGATGCTACTAATCATTAAAATGCAGTACAAAGCAACCAATTTAATGAACTGCTACACAAAAAATAGACACAAAGTCTTTTAAATAGTTGACAATAGACAGGGTCATCTCAAAAAAGCACACAATCTAATGAACTGAACCAAGAGCCCATGAGGCCAACAGGAATATGAGCATTAAATAAATCATAGCCCATACTTTCAAAATTCATTTTTAGTGATTTTGGAAGTCTTTTAATCATAAAAACTATAAAATCCCTATCTACATCGAAGCTCACAAGCACACGGTTCTTTTCCTAGTTATAATGCAGCTCTAAGTAAAACCCTTCTAATAAAAAGATTTTAAGAACACATACCTGAAGCATTATTAGATGAATAAATTAGTAAGTTTGAATAACTTGAATTCAGTGTTTGGTCATAGCATCAAAAATATATATATTTTTCCAAGAGTTTGTACTTAAAAAATGTTTAGAAAGAAGTTTTATAAAAAGAAAGATACAGTATTTTTTATGCAAACTGACTGTACAGAGAACAATCATTTACAATATTTGAATTTCATTGTCGTCATCATCATCATCATCATCATCATCATCATCATCATCATCATCATCATCATCATCATCATCATTATTATTATTATTATTATTATTATTATTATTATTATTATTATTATTATTATTATTATTATTATTATTATATTGACATTGAATTTATAGGAAAGAAGGAACTCTTTATTATTAGTAGCTACTAGAAGGCTCTTGCTTGTAAGTAGATTTAAATTAATCAATTAATTATTGTATTTATAGTGTCACATATACAATTACATTAATTGTCTGCCCTTCAGCTGTTTTAAGATATATTTGTGTGTTTTCAAAAATAGGTAGAGATTTGCACAATTTTGTTTTAGAACTGGGAACAATAGCTGTTTCAGGCCTTGTTCTGGCTCTTTATCAAAGAGAATTGAAGTATTGGTATCTACATCTCAGGATGGAAAATATAGAAAGAAAGAAAAAAAAACAATCCAGTTGCTCTATCAATAAATTCCTTTTGTTCCTATAAAGAAAGAATAGTGATATGAACATTACTTACTTCTTCTAAAAGTACTTTCAGACAATGTACACCTGAAATTCCAGAAATTTTCATAACTTCATTCAGCTGTTTTATTTGGTCAATCATTTTATCAGTCTTATTTAATGGAGTAAACCATTTGTCTCTGAACATCTCCAGAACCATATGCTTCATGGCTGAATTATAAAAGGATTATGTTAAAACATATTCAGACGTAGGAAATATTGACATCAGACTTTAAACATTAAGTGTATAATTATCTCAGTTATATAAAACTTCAAAAAAGTATGGAAAATTTGGAATGACATTTAATGATTTGTTTTAAATGCCTGTACCTTCATGGAATTGTAGGTAAGCCACAATGTTTCATTAATTTATTGAACTTAAGATGAATGACATTGGAGATTAAAAAATGTGTTATTTATGAATTACATAATATACTCTGACAAAAAATTTTAAAACAATGCAACATTAGGAGAAAGTAATGTTGGCATAAACAATTCTGAACTATCTTCACCTATTTTACTAACTACCATGTTTGTACTACTTACTGAACCAAAAATTCACCTGCAATGATCAATGACTTCTAACTTGTCTAAGTACAGGTCAACAGCATTATTCAATTGCTTTTAGGTCATGCTAAGAGAGCTAAAGCACAGTTCTCAAGGGCAATGCTATCATACAACTATTCCTATTAAATGAGAATGAAACTGCTAGATGTACTTGAAAACTTTCCTACTATGACCTATGACACAATATTAAATTTAATAGTATCATGTGCAAATAGATTAAAGAAATCTTGCATGTCTGGTCTGCATTAGGTATAAAAATTAAAAGTTAAATTAATTTCTTAGAGAAAATGAAATGACAACAAATTTTGGTTTTAGAGGTTGTATAATTTGACACAAATGTTTAAGAACAAATAAAATTCAAGATAATACAATTAAAATTAAAATATGCAAACATTGACTGGACATTTTCCAAGCACAAACTTTAAAGTTATCAGATGGAAATTCAATGGAGCATTTCATAAGGATATTAAAAATAAAAATACATAGCTCTGTCAAAGATATGGGCATTTTGAAAAGAATCATACAAAAATAAAGTAGCCCACAGGATATTGAGTTTTTGATTCAAAAGGACTTATCTTTTCATTTTAGTTTTCACTAAAAGAATGCCAGAAGAAAACCATTCCAGAAAACAAAATTCAATGGAGCATACAACGTGGGACTATGATCTAAAAGACATGATAAATCAAAAGAAGAAAGCATACAGAACCTACCTCCAGAAACGAACGGTGGAAAAGTACATGGAACATAAAAGATTACGGGCCAAAGTGAGACGTGTCAGCTTAATACACAGGAGAGAGGACTGGTGAAAATTTGTTAAAAGCATAGGAAGTATGAGGCTCTCAACGGATGGGTTTCAAAGTTTTGAAAGTCATGAATGTGAAAGATAAAATCAGATTAGATGGCATACCAGAAGAAAATTGGATCAAACACTACTCCACCCTGTGGAAATCAACTCTCAGATCCAATGAAGTGCTGGAAGGAACAAGCCAAATCTCTGATAATGATGAACTAGACAACTTAATGAATGTAGAACCCAAAGCAGTATTAAGAAAAGTAAAAAATAGGAAAAGCCCCGAACCAGATGAAGTCAACATAGAACTCATGTGATATTGAGGAAATGAACTGAAAGAAATGTTATTAGAACTTTTTAACAAGAATTTCATGGGAAAAGAGCATGGATTCCGAAAGGGTAGAAGCGCTAAAGACAATATCTTTACATTACAGATGTTAATAGATAAAAGAAGGGAAAGAAATCTCTCAACTTTTATAATATTTATTGATTACGAAAAGGCTTACAACAAAGTTATTAGACAGAAACTCTGGAAAATACTAGAAGAGGAGAAAGTTCCAAATCATTTACTCAATACAATACAAAGTCTCTACAAGAATTTAAGAATTAAAATACTGTTAAAAGAGGGAAAAAAGTCAGCAGCAATAACAACTAACAGTGGCTTAAGGCAAAGATAATCACCCATCCTCTACAACATATACATTAACCACTTAGTGAAAAACTTGAGAAAGAAAGTTAGACAAGGAATACAGATCACAAAAGACAATAAGATAGATACAATCTTGAACGCTGATGGCCAAACTATCATAATGGATTCTGAAGATAATTTACACAGAGCAGGGTTTGAATTGACAAAAGTGGGCAAAAAAGTATTCCATGAAGACAGCAATTCAGAAAACAAAAGTTATGGCAATGCAAGTCAAGGAACAAAGGAAAAACCAACAGAACAGAAATAGTAAAATAATAAAAAAATAGTGGAACAATTAAATAAATGTTCATACCTTGGAAATAGGTTTATAAGGTACAACGGTACAAAGGTAAGAAGACATAGAAAACAAACTTAATATCTACAATAGAAAATGTGGAACAATTGAGAGATACTTTGGTAAAGACATGGACCCAGAAACAAAACTGAAAATCCACAATATATACCTAGTATCATATATGGATAATGAAAGTGAGAGACAAACAAGAACTACACGTGGCATACATGAGATTTCTAAGACATCTCATAGAAATCACAAGAAGAGATAGACTAAGAAATAAAGACAGCAGAAAGAAATTGAAAATCAAATGTTTTGCAGAAGAGATAGAACTGTCTCAAAGGAGATGGAAAGATCAATTACAGAGAATGAACAAAAGATTTCCAAAATTAATCTGGAAGTACAAACCAATAGGCATCAGAAATAGAGGGAGACCACTAAAGAGGTGGCAACAGCAGGAAACTTGCAAGACTAAGAATCTATCAAAAATACTGTAATAAACCAATAGAAACAGGATATGGAGCCTAATTCTGCTAAGTTCATGATGACTAAAAGAATGCAAGACTTAAGAACTCAAAAAATTTTAACAGGAGCGCTGTGCTGCAACTTCACCAAAAAAAGGTCTTAGAGATTAAGTTTCACAGATAAGTGAGTATTCAGCAATAATAAACATGCACAGGCCAAGTATTAAATGTGAAAAAAATTGAAAAAATAAATTAATGTTCCAATAATCAGAACTGAACAAGGACCTTTATGGTAAATACTGACTAAAATAGAACTTCTGTTAGAAAATAGAACATAATGATTTTATTTGTGAAAAAGACCTTTGTACTTCAAACTTTCCCAATACGGGAATCTAAAATAATTTTTAAAGAAATGACATTATAACATGAGTCAGAAAAAATTAATTCACTAATTTTCAGCATTATCTTTGGGAGGCCATAGCATAGAGGGTCAGGTCTTCCAACAACAAGCTGAGCCACAGATTCTTCCCTTCCTAATAGTTGGCAGTTATGAAGTGGAATCATCTGCAATGAACTTAAATTCTTGCATAACGTTACACAATGAAAAGATGGAAACAAGCCAAGAACAAAAACCTTTTTGAAGGAATCTTTGTTTTACATCTTAAACAGGTTCTGCTGTATATGCAAAATGAAGAACAGAAACAAAAACAACAGAAGAACAGATAGAATGAAGAAAAACAATTTATCATGCTAATTATAAATATAACAAATACATTTAATATTAACTTTGTGTGATATATTCTTGTTGCTTACCAGGATCTTCAATTCGTTCTAAAAGCTTTGATTGTACTTCAGGAAGTTTTGAAAAGTTTGGATGACGTGTGGTCAAATCTTTTAATATTTTAAAAGCTTGCTTTCTAACATTAATTCCTCTGTCCTGAAAGAAATGTGTGTCAATCCTTAAGAAACTATATGTTTTAATCTTCTGTTATGCATAGTACAGAGAAAATATGACAGTTGTATAAAAATAAACTTCAATTTTTTTAAAGTATTTATCAAGGCATCATACCAGAACCATTAAACCTGTTTCAACAATGAAATCAAAACTTTTATTTCAGAATGAAATATATAGCTCAATTAAAAAGCTTATTTTTAAAGTGATGTATCTCAAGAAATAGGGAAAGAATTTTTCAGGAAGGGAAACTATCATAATTTAGCTTTATAGTATAAGAAAGAATTCAACGTTTTTGTTAATATCGTTTAACTTAGGAGAACCGCCTGTTTTGAATACAATATTTGGCAATATGATGGAGAATTGACTTAATAATATATTGATAAGTAAAACTAGAAAACAAACAAAAATGGAGATACTTTGGAAATAAGCTCTTCAATACATAACCAAAGAAAATGGATTTTATTTTTTACTGTTCTTCATAAATTCGTTCAATTTAAAATGCTGAGTTCATATTAGAAAGTAACTCATACTGTCTCAGTTGTTGATCATTTTTTAATTATTTCTATAATGTAAGATATTCTCAGTCAATTTATTTCCTACCTCAGTCAGAAAAAGGACTATTTATTTTTAACTCTTCAAAATTAGGACCAAGAATTTCTCATGAACTCAAAAAATTAGTTGTTGGATTTTGAGACAAATTGGGGATTCACTCATGAAAATTTTCTATCATTATATTTTGAAATTCTGAAAAAATATTTCTAATGTGCTAGTAAATATGCTAGTTTCTCAAAAGCTGCAGTCAGTTGCTTCAATAACATTTTTTGTCCTTTCTTTACTTAAAACTTGATCCCTAATCTTATTGTTAGGTGAGATAACATCATCAACTAATTCTGACATTAAATTTTAATACATAACACAAATAAAATTAATACAAATTATTTTTACTTATTATAAATGAGGTGGTCACAAACATAACATAATTATTTAAGGATGATCCCAGCAATGTTACATGGTAACGAGAGGTACTAGAAATACTCCAAATCTGCATTACGTAATTTACAGATATCCCCTTACAAAGTGTGGAAAAGTCACATGGATCAAACTAGAAATTATTGTTTCAATTTATGAACTCAATGTACAAGTTTTAAATAACATTTTTCAATCTTTCTGTAATCTTTGCAACAAGTAGAACAAAAAAATACTTTTTTAAAAATGAATAAAAGAAAAAAAACTTTTTTTGTTATTTTATCTTTAAATTTTCCTCACAAGCCAAGAGCTCATCACCAGTTGAAAGTTTCATGATGGCTAATATCTAGAAGTTGAAATTTTAGGAAAAATGGAACATTAAAAAACACGATACTTTATGAACTTTTTTGATAGGTAACAATACTAGTATATCATTCGATTTTTCTTTGAAGTGAAGTTTACATTTTGTTGGATTACATTTCTCCAAAAATGATAATGGCATTCAAATGTTTCTCCATGCTTCCTTCCCATAAAACGCCTATTATTTTTTGCCCTGCCAAGAAATTACTTATACATCCTTACCAGGAGATGAGGAATTAAGAGAGGATAAAACTGTTCATATTTTTCTGGTAAATGCAACATACATCTCCCAATAAGATCAACTGAGATTTCTCTCACAGTAATGCAATTATCTTTTAAGAATGTACGCATTACATATTGAATTAGAGGTTTTTCAGCAAATGCCATATCAGCATCCATAAACAATTTTAGGCATTGCATAGTTTTGGCACGCACCACAGGTTGTTTAAATGTCAACATATTTATTATCTGCAACAAGAAAACTTAAAATATTATTGTTTAAATGTCAACATATTTATTATCTACAACAAGAAAACTTAAATAATTATCACTTTCTTACAAGATATATATGTTAGGTATATACATGAATATAAATCAACTGAATAACCATTACATCTAAGGCACTGTTTGTTAGCACTTTGAACAATTTTTAATGAGGATGACTATCATAAACTTTTTCCAAACAGATAAAAATTAAGTGGTTTTCTTAATTTCTTCTATTTTCAATCCACTACATGGAATCATTATCTAGACAAGATTTTCCACTCCTAACTTCAGTATCAGCAAATACTTTGATTCTCTTTTTATTATTCTGTCTTACATCTTTTCAAAACACTTGATACTGATTACTTGGATTCTTCACACAATTCTTTTCTCTTCTTTAGGGAGAAAAATGTGCCATATTGAATTCATTTAAGACTTGTCCATATTCTAAAACAAGTTATTAAATGAGTTATTCCTTAAGAAATATTGTATCCTGCCACATATACACACTATTAGTATGTCATCTGACCCAGCAAGTTATCCTTTTTCAACTGCTGTGGTAATTGTTTTGAGTATTTCAATTCTTTTTTGAAGTTACAATTACATTTGATAGATATCATCTAAGTTTTTAATCTCCACTTAATCTTCTATACCAGATGTACTCCTTTTGGCACTTAGTGCTGACACTGTGGTTCTAAGGCACTGATGTTCAAAAATCATTTAAAATCAATTTTATAGGCTTCTAAAAGTTATATGAGATTGAAAAAGTTTCAGAATTTTTATATTTTAAAACGTAACTTCTTTGAAAGCAATGAAAAATGCTTTCTGGAAAGTCTTTTAACAAGCAAAACTTTCCTTAACAGTTTTTTAAACAGCTGGTCTGCTGGTCTTCAAAATTAATTTGAATTTGACACGAAAGTAACAAAATAAATGTATTTATTTTTATGTATATAAATATTTGCTTTGAATATTTTCATACAATTCAAAATGTTACACATATGCATAATAATTTTCTCAAAAAATAAAAATGTTCACTGAAATAAATTTAAATCATTACTTTGCATCTCTCACCTCCAGGTTATGAAAAAATATTATAAAAACACTTTACAAATCATCAACGTTTTCAAAGTTTTCTTCTGCAATAAACATTATTTGTAAGAACATCATTCTCACAATTATCTTATTATGCCCCCCTCTTATTCATTGATTAGTACTAACCTGTCACTTACTTCTCCACTTTTTTTGTCTATTTTCCCTTTCCTTTTACATGTGTTACAACTATTACTACTACTACTACTACTACTACTACTACTACTACTACTACTACTACTACTACTACTACTACTAATTTCCCAATCTTTCAAAAGCGTTTGTACCGAGGCCTTGCCGAGTTGCCTAATTGGATATTCTCTTTCTTAGATTTTTGTCATTAAGATGAATTAGTTTATTTGATACAAAGAATTAACATTAATAGATTGGGAGCAAAAAAACAAAGCAATTTAAGCAAAACAATTAAAATTGACCTGAATGGTCTATGCCAACAGGAGACTAAACTAGCACCTCCACTAAGCTGTGTCTAGCTTCAGAAATGAAATTATGATATGCCTGCAATGCTTCTGATTTCTTTGAAATCTTTCAGCCTTTCCATGCACAAAAGAAGCTACAACAAAATATCATAAAGAGTATTTTATAATTAAAACTTTACTTACATGTGTCAAATATACATTAAAATAGGTAATTATTTCTGCCTTATTTATGAAATAACTTATAATCATTTTTACATCTAGTGGGCACAGAACTATTGACATATCATCAAATTGAAGTAAAGATTTCACAAGCAAAGCACTTGTCTCTGCTATGAGCAACATTTGTTTCTTCTGATTCTTATTTTTAGACTTCCTTGCATGGCCTGCAGATGGTTCATTTTCTTTGTTTTCTGAAAAAATGAGTATATCATTATTGTAAGGTTGCATAAGGTGATATAATGAAATATATCAATAAACATATTAAAACCATCATACCTGTTAGGATATATTTCCCTTTTTTATTTAAGTTTTTGGAAATCACTGACTCTTGACTTATCAACTGACTGCACCAAATTATAATGTAAAAATTATCTAAAGAAACAACAGTATGATAGGTCTGAGACTTTCCAACAACATAGTTAAGGAAAATGCTTTGCAAATGTTGATATCTTGAGTTCTAACCAACAAAAGAAAGATGTTTTATAAACTATACACAAAATTTGGGATTCAGCAAAATTCCAATCTTGTCATCAAATTTACATTTACAACAACAACAACAACAACAACAACAACAATAATAATAATAATAATAATAGTAATAATAACAACAATAATAATAATAATATTTATTGAGTCACATACAATTACAATTGTGTATGACGTGTCATGCAAGAATTATGTTGCATTTCAGAGACAAACTACATTTCATACTAATTTCCAAAATTTTCTCAAATATCTCAGGAATATCCCATGAATTAATAAATAAATACTTTTTCTTCTTCGACAAACTGTTGCTTCTGGTGTTAATAGTAGTATTTTTAGAACAGACCTCTTCACTTATATATTTTTAAAATTTTATAAGATGCTTTCACAGAAATAGCATCAAAAGAGCAAATAGGACATCAATAAATCTCATTTTTAAACAAATTAGTTTTGTGGCTACCTAAGATGACTAATAAACTTGAAAATAATACATAATCAGAAATACATTTGAGATATATTTTCAACAAAAATTTTACATTTACAATTGAAAGTATATTTTGAATTCTACATACCTCCTTGGCACAATCAGTTGGATAGCTATTACACTTCATAAGCTTATACTGAGTCTTAGATATAATTTCATCAAGTTTCTCATTATTCTTTTCAGATAATTGAGCAGTTTTATTTACTTTCACCATTATCTCACATAACCAACGCATACACACAGTAAGAACAGTAGGACTTGCACTTGCACTGTGAAGAATATTTGCCTTTAACAAAAAAAAAAAAAAAAAGGTAAAATTGCATATTTTTCAACAAATGTAGAAAATATTTAAAAAATTAAACTTGTACACAAACCAAATGTTTGGCTATAGCAGATAACAAAATTATAGATGCAGGCCAATCAGGTTCTTCAAGAACACTTAACAGATCATGTATAAAGTCAGCAAAAGCTGCCTCATAATATTTGGAATGATGACCATTTTGTTTTATGTAACCTTTCAGAAATTCATTTGTAACATGATGAGAATACACCATAATATTTTTGTGTTTTTTTAATATAAAAGATTCAAGATTTTTCATATTCAAACAGTCTACCTGAAATATTGAAAACAAGTTAAATGAGTTAAAAATGATATAATATTTTTTTTTTTTAAATTACAGTTCAACAACTTTTTGTTTTTTTTAATTTTGTTTATTTTACATTTTCTCATACAGCAAGGCAAGTGCTTTATAAGAATGAATAGAGCTGCAACTTAGCACTTAGAGTCACAAAAAGGAGAGTGAGAATACTTCCACTGGAGACCTCAATATTCAATACTGTGATTTGAGATATAAGATTATTATTACATATATGATTAAAGATATTGAATTGTACACTCAAATAATTTCAAAAATATCAGATGTGATAACTCGTATTGCCATTGATGATACACAACTTATCAGGGGGAATGAATTTCTACATGGCAAGGATTTTGCAGGATTGCAACCCTCATATGTGCAATATAGTCTGCAAAATGACAATTATTTTCCTTTTCAGAATCTGTTTCTTGTTAACTAAGGAATTTCAGCATAGGAAAGCTGTAATGAATCTATTGATATGAACATATAAAAATTATATTTACATCACATATTGCATTATAATTCTGTTATTGAATTGTAAGGTAAACAAAACATTTGTATATTACCACATATCAATTTAAAACAAACAATAATTTTAGTCAAGCAAAATATTATATGATACATTTTAAGGATTACATTTTTGGAACAAAACTTCTCTTACCACAAAACACACTAAAAATTAAATTTATAATATTATATAATTTAGTGCTCAATAAGTCATTGAAATAAACAGCTACAAAACAACAAAGTAGAGAACAAATTTTAAATAAATAATTTGTTACATCCTCCATTCTTCCTTCCAATAAATGGGAGAGATTTATGTTAAACTATATTAAATATGAGAATTTGTACTGTTTACTTCTTTTACTAAGCTCCCTTTTTAGTCATTTGGCTATCTAAATTCTTATATAGTTATCAAGTAACCTGTGTTCATCTGACTGTCACAGCTTCCCACCTTCCAGTCCACCAAGAGAGACAAATAAGATGTCATTCAATATGCCTTCAGGTTGAGAACTATTCATTTTGATGGATCCATTCAGAAGATTCTAAGATTTCTTTAACACATTTCTTTTTTTTTTAAGCAACTACATGTAAATTATTGTAGTCTTTCTCTAGCATTTATATGAATTTCACAACTTTATTCATCAGATTGATGATAATTAAACCTAATTTTGTAATAATTATCAAAAAAGGCCTTTTTAGGGGGGTGTTGTCTGTGTGTGTGTGATGTGTGTGTTTGTGTGTGTGGTGTGTGTGGTGTGTGAGTGTGGTGTGTGTGAGTGTGGTGTGTGTGTGTCAGTGTGTGAGTGTGGTGTGTGGTGTGAGTGTGGTGTGTGTGTGAGTGTGTGAGTGTGGTGTGTGTGGTGTGTGTGGTGTGTGTGTTGTGTGTGAGCACGTGTGCATAGATGACTGTGCAGGAGGGAGGGTTAAGGCTCTTGACAAGATGAATTCATTGGCTCTTATTTTTAGCCATTTCTTTCCAGAATATTCTGGAAGAATTCTAGAAAGAACATGTTGATGGAGATTTTAAGGCAACTACAGTACTGAAATACTGAATTACTACACTACCTTTCCAGCTCAACATGTAACCTTTGGGCATGATTCATTATATTGACTGTGGTCTTTCATTGTATCAACAATAGTTAAACCTAATAATGTTATGAAACAAAAATTTATAAAAAGTACTTCTATCAATACTTTTTTATGTAACTGTTTCCAAGCATAGACAAGACCAACAACTTTATTGTTTTTAACTTTTCTCTTTAGCATGTAATTGTGTAGCACATATGAAAATTGTCACATATAAAAAGTGCCATTGCCAGAGATGCCTGGCTAATCTAATATAGTGCAAAAAGTTAAAGGACAACTATCGAAATATGACAATCAATGAAGTTCTTAACTTTTCTTATAAAATTTTAGCATTGGAACTGAAAGTACAGTGGAGATGTTTGTCATTAGTACAAACCAGAGGTCTGAAACTAAATCCGTTCTCATTAAAAACAATTTTTTTGAAATTTTAGACACGCTTCAAAAAACATTATTTTTAACCAAAAAAATATATCTTAAAAAAGGTTTTGAGTGAGATTTCTGAAATTTGCAATGGATGAGAGTCTATATAAAATGATGTAACATAATAATTAATATCTACATTAATAAAACTGAAATGTCAATCTGTGATTGATCTTTTAAAATAATTGTCCTTTTATAAACTCATATGGTTATCTACATGAAATAAAGACCTATTTAATTGTTTGTACTTGTAATTGTGTTTTTATGTATTTCTGTTTGCTTCAGGTTAACCTCAAACAGGTTGAATTTATTTAGCTGGAACAGAAAAATAGTATTTTTTTAGGCATAATTTAAGCTACTTTGTTTCAGCTCTATATCTTCCATATTTAAAATGCAAAAAATATGTTTAATGGCTAACACCTCTTAGATGGTTCAATTAACTTTATTGATTTTTGATATTTAAGTAGATTTTGATTCAACTCAGGATCTGCTAATATAACACTGATGGTTAGGTTGGTTACCTATATGTGGTGTTAATCCACTGGAATTTTCGATACCAGATAAAGACTGGTTACAGCATAAAGTGAACAATTCAATCAGTGAACCAACCACATATTACAACAACTTTATGTAGTTCAAAACTAAAGTTCTTACTTCTTCAGATGATTTTAAGCTGCTTCCACACAACTCTTTGGGTAAAACAGTAGTATTCTGAAGCAAACTCATAACAAGAACACAGAATGCACTAATGTTCTTAGAAGAATTGTTTATTGGAAAAGATGAAGTCAACTTGTCAGGACTGCCACATTTAACAGAATATTCTTGAATGTCATTCAGTATTGTAAATTGATGGCTTTCATACTTTGAAAAAACCTATAAAAAAAAAAATTTAAAAAAAAGGAAAAAAGAAGAGATATAAATCCAAGCAATTGGCTGATGTTCACATAACAAAATTTCTGGACCTCTCCAGTTAGTCAAACATCAAACGATTTAAATGATTTGAACCCTAGATTAAGTTCATTATACTATGCATTCAGAATTCTTTCAAGTCCAGATGGATGGAGAAAGCACATCCAGTGGCGTTACATTCAGACTCACTAGGCCTGCAATGCGGGTGGGTCCAGGTAAAAGGGAGTCTATTTTTAGGGGATATTTTTATTGTTTACGGTGCTCACAGTACTTGTGTTTGCTATACACTTTTATCAAGTGCACCTAGATAAAAGTTTTGCGGGCAGGCCCGCATTCATTTCGTTATGCTACTGAACACATTCTGTAGGTAGTACCCAGTCTTTTAGATTGGAGAAAAATATTGCACGAATAATAAGAAATTGCCAACCATGTGATTCCTGCAAACTCTCTTTATTGAGCTGGGCATCTTACCATTGTTTTTATTTACAACTCAATCGTTTTGGTCAATATTATCTTAGTTATGGGTGGGAACATATTTCAAGCACTATGGATATTTATAACCACAACAGATGTAGTTGGGATCATATTCATCAGATATCAATATCAACAACTCATTACAAGAAATTCTCATAATATATGTTACTTTACAATGCACTGCCAAATAACATTAAAATCGATTCACAAGTTTAAATGCAGAGTAAAATATTTTCTGATACATAACTGTTTCTACACAATTAGAAACTATTTTGACCATCAAAAAGGAAAAATAACATTTATTTATTAATCATACATAATTAGTTAACATTTATATTGTATTATTAAAAAAAACTAAATGCTCCTTTAACAAGAAATGTACTTCAGTGTCTGGGTCAACCTCATCTCAATCATATTTTTGCATCTAGTTTCCCTGATCCATTGAGAAAATGGTGAAAAGGCCCCTTGTTTTGCTTCTGAACATAAATATAGCTTTACTATGTGCAAGGTTTGTTGAGCTCTGTTTGCTAGTTGTGGGAGGAGTAGAGCCAGTGTTGTGGGTTGCTATTTTGTTAGCAATGCTAAAGATTGAATCTGTAATTCATTTACTGATGCAAATGAGTTTTCTATTACTCAGAAGCAACAATTTCTAGATTTCAAATGTTTCTAGCCTCAGTTGATTAATACTTTTATTCATCACTCAACTCTATATAGTAAATAGGTAGGGAAGAGATTCTGGAGCTCAAGAAAACATGCACAGATTATACTTCTCCTTCCTCCAGTTTATTGTTCTGTGATGAAAATAAATTAAATCACATTCTCATTGTCATTTGACTTTGTAGATATTTTCTTTCAATTCAAATTCCATAAGCTGTAGTTAGATGTCATAATTTATAATATAATTTTTTTTAAAATAATAATTTTATCTTAAGATAAGTATGCTAATATTTTGTAATATGAATTTATGTCATCTTACCCCACATAGTAATCTAATACTACTAATCTTCAGACTGTGACAACCATTTCCAAAAGCATACACTCCAATACATGATATTTTGGTTACATGAACATCCACTAAAGAATGCACAAAAACAAGTTCTGTCAGCAAGTTAATTGCTAAATGCATACTTTCTATTTTCTTATTGTTATTTGTATTTTCTTCTTCATTATCTGTAGAATCTGAAATTGTTAAAATAGGTACTTTTTTTAAGAAATAATGGCATACATTTTCTCAATATTAGAAAAATTATTATTCTTATTGTTTTAGGTGGGTGGTTTCATATTTAAAATGCCACCCAGAGTGGGTCACTTCAGGTGGAAAAAGAAAACATCACTATCTTCTTCCCTATTAGGTGAGGAAATGTTTCTTTTCTTTTTGCAGAGAAATGCTTAGATACTGTACAGCAGTTTCTTGACAATTTCTCTTCTAAAACGTCCACAAAATTCTGCTTTGAGTTGAAGTGCTGGAGATACTTCTAAGCATTGTTAAAGGAAAAAATCTACTTTTAACTTCATTTATTTACTCCGTATGAGCAGAACTTACTGTAATCGTGCGCAGGAAAACGGCGAATTTTCGGCAGAAAAACTGGCAACGAAAAAGTGGACAAATTTTGTTCCTCAGTGCAGTAAATTACTTCCTCTAACACATATTTTGGGGGTCCTTGATACTGAAAAATCTATTCACGCAAATTGTCTGTCTGGGCTTAAGACTAGCTCCTAAACGGTTCAGCCGATTTTTTCCAAAATTGATATTCATCGATCGATTTGGTTGATGTTGAGGTCCCCTGAATTTGATATTGATATTTAACAGTACAAGGGGGTACTTTACAGCTCCGGAGATATTTCCCCAATTTTCAAAAGAAATGGCGCCATCAATTTTGATTAAATTATGTTGTTGGATAGGCTGAAGGACGTTTACAAAAATTGTGCACATGTGATTTTCGTTGAAAACCCTGATTTTTCGAAAATTTCAAAAGTACAAAATTTTTTCGAAGTCTCCCTTCATCGACAATATTTAAGATAGAGATTTTTCCCTTAATGAAGTCTGCTTCTTAAAGACAGTAAAAAAGTAGTTGCTGACAGAATTGATATGTATTGTTTTATTATTATTATTATTATTATTATTATTATTATTATTATTATTATTATTATTATTATTATTAAGATAGATCTTGAAATAAGGTCATGTACAATTTTTCGTAAAATTTGAATACATTTTATGTAATTTTGCGTCAAAATACTAGTATAAAAGTAGTAGATATTTTAGCACCACTAGTTTCCATAGGTAGAACAAAAAACGCTTAAAAGAATGGCACAGGTCTAATATTCGTTGAACTCTGAATGTTCAAATACTTTCAATTTACAGATGAAAATATGCGCTTATGTAGCACCAATAGTTTCAGTTTCAAACGACGAAAACGCAAATTTGTTATTTGGCGGAATATAAGTGCATATTATGACAATCTCCATAATTACTGGCCAGCCGCCAGAATTACAGTACACTCGCTGTTCTCAAATTACCTGAGCCAATACAGTGCTTCGAGTCTTGTAAATGCGCGCGAAGTTCCGATTACAAAGTCTACGACAATTTGATTACAAAATAATGCTATGAGAATCTATGAGTGGAGGCCAAAACGCCAAAGGAATAAAATTGTATTGCTAATAATGTGCGACTTATGTTAAGTCTGTCTCCTAGCCCAAATACGTTGGCGGAGCCCTTACTCTGGGCGGAGCTGAATCACAAAACATCCCAGTAAGTGGGCGTCAGGCAGCGTGATCGGTAGCTATGGCGGAACGAAGGTGGCGTATTCAACCGAACCTTCCTCCGGTCGCCTCGATGTAACGCATACGCAGCTATGCGACTGGCTGCCAGTCTCCTAGGAAGAGGTAGAATGCACAATTTCGACAAGAGTATGAAAATCTCATCCTAGTCGGGGGTGTGCCAACTACGGAAGAAAGAGGAATTGGAAGTCTTGGGTTTTTAAAGAAAGGAATGAAATCTGATACGTCGGCAGCAAGATATATATAGTACGAAGTTGCTCTGCTGCTGTCGCCGTTTCTCCGCTCTCAAGTCTCCATGCCTCTCTATTGGACCATAGATCATCTTGCATTTCTCTTGCCGTCATAACCTCTCGCACTCCCTGCTGCCATGCAAGTCTGGGTCTTCCTCTCTTCTGCCTTCTTGTCGGCACCCATTTCAGGACTTGTGTTGGCTATCTATCGTTTGTCATTCGCATAACATGACCGTACCAGACGATTTGTTTTTTCTCTATTTCGTCAAGGATAGATTTCTTTACATCCATTTTCTTTCTTATATCGTTCTTGATTCTGTTACGTCTGCTATAACAGCAACTTCTACGCCAGAAATCCATTTCAAGGGCCAGCAGCTTCCCTTTTACTCTTTTATCAATCTCCCAAACTTCTGAGCCGTTATGTTGTAATACTCTTAACTAGCGAGGAATAAAGACGTTTTTTAGTAGTGTTAGTGATGGTTTTGTTAAGACAGAATTTATACTTCGTGTCACGTTTCTCCCCAAGCTTATTTGTCTATCACTTTCGTCTCGGCTGTTTGCCTTATTGTTAAAAAGAACACCAAGGTATTTATATTTGTTTACTCCTTTCATTTTTCCTCCATGTTCCAGAAAAAGATCTTCTATCTCATTTTTACCAACTGCCAGGTATTCAGATCTGTCCACGTTAATATTAAGACCTGCTTTTAAAAAGTGTTCATTGAGTTAACGGATCATGAAACTCTAATCGTCCGCATCTTCTGCAAATACTACCTAGTCATCGGCAAAATATAATCTATACAATTTATCCTCTCCGATCGTCATTCCCATTACTCTGCATTGTTTACCACTGCTGTAAAAATTTTACAGGAAAATTATAGACTTATTATTACCTTTTTTCCTTCCCGTACACACACGTATATATCGAGTAATGTAGATAATATATGGAAAGTTATGTAAAGCAGCAAAAAACTGCTTTCGAGATTTCAATAGAAATACGTTTTGGGGTCACCTAATACCGAAAAAGTGTTTGTTTGCTTGCTTGCTTTTCAAAACGCCCGTTCGTCTTTCCGTTCGTCCGTCAGTCTGTGAGCTGAACACCACTAGCACCTAAACCATACGTACGATTTTTTCCAAACTAGGTAGCCCCCGTCGACCTGGCTCCACTCGAGACGCTGCTTTTACAAAATTAGTTCTTTCATTAAGGTCATGTACATTTTTTTTGAAAAGTTTCGTAGTTTTCGCGCAATATTGCGTGCAATATGTGCAATTTTAAAAAATTACAAAAACAAGATTTTCTCAAAAAACGGCTCCATTTTTTTTCTTTTGACTTTTGCTAGAGCTAGTGTTACATGCACTCTATAAGATGGCATAAACGCCATACTACTCTATTCTTTTGTTTTTTCAAACATTACAAAAATGAAATTCTTTTACCTTGCCCCTCACGTCGTTAATATTTATATTGGCGGCAATTTGTTCACAGTGTTGTATTTATGAGCACACGTGTTTTAAATAATGTCAGATACAGTTTCTCGAAAACTCAATTGTTTTCTGTGAAAATAGCTCAAAATCCCGCATTTTCAGAAATGCTCAAACGCCTTTTTCTCAAAAACGGCTCCAATTTTTTTCAAACTTTCCGAACAGAGTGCTGATTGCACGGTTTAATATGACGAAGTTAATTTTGAGGGATATTTTGGTTATTCCAAAAAGTACACATAATGTTTTAAGGTCTCTCCCGCCGTTAATATGCACTTTTCCAGCAATTTGTAAACACTATTGTATTTGTGAGTTAATGTGCTTCAAATGACTACTGATGTTTTTCGACTTCTCAAAAATTTTCTGTGAAAAAGAGCTAATTTTGAATTTATAGAAACGCTTAAACGCCATTTTCTTAAAAACGGCTCGAACTTTTTCAACGCTAATTGTCATTTATGACTAGGCACACTGATACAAGACTTACACTGAAACTTAGGTTGTTTTTCTGATATTGCATAGCAATAATTTTCACACATCATGCCCCTCATTTTGTTTTCTCTCCTTCCCCTTCATAAATTCCTTCCCCCCTTCTCCTCCTTTGCTCTCCCCTCTCCTGTCTGTACCATATACTCTCTGGTCAGTACTTACAATAGCTCATACCTTCCAAGACCTCTAAGCACTACACTTCGTCTGACCGTGATGGTATGTCCACTAGTTTGTACTGGATGGTGTTTGTACTGGACGTGATGGTGAAACGTGTGATTTGAACTCCTGACTCGTTTGGTAAGTGCTGGTTTATAATATTGTAATAATATTTGTTTTTAACCAAAGTATTAACTATTAAGCTCAATTTTATTAATTGTTTATCTTTAACCAACAAAAACGAACCTTTATGGTTTGCATAATTTTTTAATGTACCAAATAAGACTTTTAGTAATCTGACGAGTGTACTAATGTAACATACTATAATTTAACCTGTCAAACTGTATTATTTTCTTCCTTTTTTTCTTTTTAGCCTGAGGATGTGGAAAATATGTCCCCGAAACTGTTGTGCATTCGAGTAATTGTAACAGAGATGTATTAAAACTAAATTGAGAAGAGTTGTGTCTGTCTATAAATCATCTTGGGACTCCTTTCCTTCAACCTCAAATTTACAAGAGACAAGCTTATTTCTACCTTTGCAAAAATTACCTTGTTTACTAAAACAATTTGTAGTGTAGTTTGATTTTGTACTCTTTTATGTTGTTTTTTTTTTGGGGGGGTGAATCTGAAGTTTGCCAAAAAAAATATTTTCGTTGGAATTTGAGTTATAATAAAAAAAAAAACTTTTCTTCTGCTTTTTGCCAATACCTACACTAGAGATGCTACAGCAGCACATACATTCTCGTTATATCGTTACAGTAATGAAATATGTCACAATTTCTGCCTTTCTTACTCTTCACATATTTATCTCGTAAATAAACGAACCTGACAAATACAATTTTTTATTCAAAAGTTTAAATGAAAATATATTTCTAGCATTGAATTCAGTGTATTCACGAACATATCCGATGCGTTTTTCAGCCATAAAAATATACTGTGTAAGCAGTATGTTAGAAAGTAGAAACTAGTGGTGCTACAGAATGACACAGACTTTCCCGAATTAGTTCCTTTGGTCTCGGCTAAATATTAGAACTTGTCACATACTCTTATCAGCTGCCATCTATCGCCGCAAAAAGTACATTTTTTGAAATTTTCTTAATTTTATTGTTTAGTATTAGCTAATAGTAGAACAGAAATTTTATATCAAAATATTAAAGAACAGTAAAACCTCGTCCTAAACAGCAATTTTCTTTTAAGAATTGTGAGCCGTTTTTAACAAAATGGCGTTTAAGCGCTACTGTAAATTCGAAATTTGAAGCTCTTTATCATAGAAAATTTTTGAGTTTTCGAAAAACTTCATTACAAGTCATTAAAAGCACTTTATATCACAAATAGTGTTTATTCATTGCTTGAAATGTGCATATTAACGGCGTGAGAGATCTTTCAAAAAATTACATTTGTGTAATTTAAAAAAAAATTTAAATGTCCCAAAATGAACTTTACGTCATATTAAAGAGTGCAATTAGCACTATCCGTTCAAAAAGTTTGAAACAAATTGAATCCGTTTTTAGAAAATGGTGTTTGAGCGTTTCTGAAAATGCAGGTTTTTAAGCTAGTTTTCACAAAAAACGGTCGAGTTTTCGAGACACACTATACGACAGTACTTAAAGCACATGTACTCATAAATATAATAATGTAAACAAATCGCCGCTAATGTAAATATTAACTACGTGAGAGACAAGTCAAATAATTACATTTTTGTACTTTTCGAAAAACAAAAGAATACAGCAAACCGATGTTTATGTCATCTTATAGAGTACATATAGCACGATCCCCACCAAAAGTTTAAAGAAAAAATGTGAAGCCGTTCTTTGAGAAAATCAATTTTTTTAATTGTACATATTGCACTCAATATTGCGCGAAAACTACAATTTTCAAAAAAAATGTACATTACCTTAATGAAAGAACTCACTAAGGAGTTGATTTGAAAGAAAAATCTCTATCTTCAATTTTGTAGTTGTAGGAAGATCCCCAAAAACTTTCAAAATTTTGAAAATTCAGAATGAACCGTGAAAATTGGACGTATGCCACCTTTGTAAGAGTATTTTACTCTATTCTTAGAAGAAAAGTATAGAAAAAATAAATTTATAGACATTTGCCGTCAATTCATTTTTCGGTATCAAGGACCCGCAAAACAAGCTATACCACCTGTTAGAGGATTTTTTCTAGGTTCAGCAACTGGATTTATCCACTTGTTCGTTATCAGGGCCCGTCAATGGCACTTTTACTCCCGGAAATTCGCCGTTTTTTCGCGTAGCATTATATAACAATTCTTTATATTCCGTATATTACTCTTCTGTAATCAGTAATACAATGATGCACTATCATGTAAGTATTTTAGTAGTAATTTGAGCATGAAATTAGACTTTCTGTCAGGTGATTTTAAAGTAAACGTAACAGTCTCCCCGTAACTCCCGGCGCAGCGATGGCCCCCTTCCCCGACTGCAACAATTGCCAGGGCTGTTACAGGAAATATTCTCAGTTTAACTGAAAATAATTGTCAAGAAATCTAATTGTATACTTTATATTTATTTAGTCAAAAACAGTATTGACGAATGGGGGAGATCTTCGCACGTTTTCTTGAGTTCCAGAATCCCTTCCCGTCATTTTAACTATAAATAGTTAAAAGATGAGTGAAAGTTACAGATAAATAAATAGATTTAGATTTATTTAGTCAAAAAAAAACCAGTAAAAACTGTATGTGACGTAGAGGGGAGAAGATTATCTGCGCACGTTTTCTTGAATTCGAGAATCCCTTCTCGTCATTTTAACAATAAATAGTTAAAAGATGAATAAAAGTTTAACAGAAATAAATTTTAAAATGGCAAGTTTAAAAATATTTGGAAAAATAGTCATATTCGTTTCCAAATTATAGAAAACTTTGCATCGGTAAACGAGTTGCAAGTATGATTTTTCTGCATTGCTAACAAAATAGCAACTCAACCATACCTCTACTCTCACCATTACAAGCAAAAGGGGAGTTCAACAAAACGTGCACATAGTGAATCTACATTTACGTCCAGAAGAAAAACAAGGGATCTACTAAACTAAGGGTACCATTAGCTCAATGGATCAGGGAAACTGAACAAAAACCTAATCGAGATGGGAAAAGTAAAATTTAAAAAGCGCAAGATTAACAACATTTGAAAAACTAGACATTTTCGTTCCCGAGTTATAGAAAACTTTTACGCAACGGTAAACGAATTGTAGGTTTGATATTTTTGCATTGCTAACAAAATAGTAATCCAATAGTTTGCCCAATGTATCAGGGAAACTGGACAAAAACGAAAAAGAGATGAGGGGGTCATTGACCCGGAAGTTGAAGTACATAATTTGTTACAAGCATATTAAGTCTTTTTTGAAAAAATATACATTAGAAATGTGAACTAGTTCATTGTGTATCACTGTTTTGTTACAATAAACATTATTTTTCTTTTTGATGATTAGTATATTCTCTTATTGTACACAAACAGTTATGCAGCAGAAAATATTTTACTTTTAACTTAAATTTGTGTGCTGACTTATATAACGTCATCTGGCAATGCGTTGTAAAGTAACGTACATGTATTGTATGTAGATTTCGGGTAGCGAGCTATTGATACTCAAATTACCACCAAAATATAACATATGCTACATCATTGTGTTTCTCTTTTTGTGATAAATCCATTGCTGTTAAGAAAAAATAGTTCCATTTAAAAAATTAAAGATGATTATTTTCTTGACAATTAAAAATATTTAAAAACAATATCTTTATGACATATTACTAGTCCCATTTCCGTATTGTAGAGCAAAATCTGCACTTCGACATTGTGAACAGTTTAGAAGCATGATGGAGGCCCTCAATTAGGAGGAGGGATCTTGTGCATCGTACCCGATGCTAATGAGCTTTAGGCACCAGTTTGCGTCACACAATTAGCGAGCATTTAAAATGCAGCCTTTTACAAAAACAACCATCACCGTCTTACAAATCATTGAAACAGATATCTGGAGCATATGCTTAATATTGCAATTTTTATTACAATTACACCGTCATTGTGTTATTTTTCATTAAAAATTGTCACTTTATACCATGTTCAAAATGTTTCTCAATACTTCTTGCTCGCTATGCAACATGCCTGCGAGTGGTGTAGCTTTTCAAACAAAGAATGAACAATTTCAGAAAGAAAAATTAACCCAGAAATTTAAAAAAAGCACCCAATTTACACAATTTGATTGCTTTATTATTTCTCACTTTTTTCTGAACAAATATATTTATTTTTGTAAATAATAAACAATTTACATGTTTCTGAAGTGTTCCTATGCTTCTGCAATGCAAATTTTTACCTAGAAAGCATTTTTTCAAACCAACTTTTGAATGCTTGAAGTGGCTTAGCCATTTGCAACATCCAAGTAGTTTATTAGACAAAATATTTTTAAAATTGTCTTAAGAGCTTATTTTCTATGTTTTGACGTTTCCTCCTCCTACACACATGCGTGCCCACATACAAAAGCAATATTCAATATAAAAACAAAATGTTTATTATTTAACAAAAATCTATAAACAAACCCACCCCCCAAATGATTGGCTGGATCCGTCCCTGGTTACAATACACAATAATGACATATGTAATGGAATGTATGGCATACACATTTTACAAATCAGCATTTTTGATTTGCTAGCAACAAAATGCAAATGGATAGAAATAAAATAAAAATAGAAATAAAATATCTTACATTCATCAAATCTACTCGTTTTTACATGAATTACTACTCATTCACGCGTCTTACTATGCAAGCAAAATGATTCACTCATTTTCCCATTTAACACAATTAAATGATGCAATTTAAAATAGATTTAATGTTTAAATAATATTCATCTTTCTTTTCAAGATTCGAATGTCTGCCTCCAAACACTTTTCACAATACATTGCAATTGGAGTGACACCATCTCAAACGAAGCACGGGAAATTCAAATTAACCATTTTGATTTCTTCTTCATATTTTGCAAAAGAGTGAGGCGAAAATAGGACCACCACCACTTTCTTTGCTGTTTGTTATGTGAAACGTGAAGGGGGGAAAAGGCTGTTTCTGAGAAAACAATTGTTTAAAATTTAAAAACTGCTTGCGCTTATCGCCAAATTACGCAAAACATACTCGTATATTCAAAACATTGAACAAGACTTTGTTTCAAGATGTTTCTGATGAACCCACTTTATTCAGTAAAATAAATGTGTCTTCATACTTGTAGTTGTGGGAAATCACTGAAAAAAATTTAAAATATTTGCAATATTCAAAAAATCTCTGATTTTAACGAACATTAGACCTGGACAATTCTCATAAGTGTCTGTTATGTAACCCAAGGTCAAAATTTAATCAAAAAATCTGGTGCCGTTTTTGAGAAAAAAGTTGTTTATATGAATTAAAAATTGCTTATATTTCAAGCAAAATTAGCCAAAAGAACTCAAATTTTTGACAAATTGTACATGACATATTTCCAAATCTGTCTTTAAAGAACAGATTTCATTATGAAGAAAAAATCTCTATCTTCAATGTTTTAGTGGTAGGAAGACATGTTTTGTAACAAGGGAAGTTTAATTATTTTGATATCTGCGTGCCTGAAAATCCTCCTCCCTCAATTAACAAGCTTCTTTTGTACTCGAGTCACATTCAATCATTCAGCATATGCATTTGTATGATAAGTTTAATATGTTGCTAAAATGTAATTTTTTAGTATTACACTAATATTGAAGGCAAATGCCTAAAAAGACAGTACTAAAGATATATCTTACCTCTACAACAAACAAAAAGTTGTTGGTGCAAATATGTTATCACCTTGTCAATGACATCTTCTAAGTACACTTGCTTATCAATTGATGATGATGTCAGAATATTTAAAATTGTTAGAGAGGCCACATTAGATGTAATAGATGGCATTTTTTCATTAAGCTAAGGAATAAAACATTTATCATTTAAATTAAAATTTAAAACAAAAGAGCAAAAATAGTCATTGATTCATTAAAAATAAATTTTAAGTAAAAATTTTCAAAAGACCAATTTCCCATTTTCACTAAACAAAACACTTTATTCTGCATTAGACTTATGATAACAAAGAAGTTTTAAAACAAAAGAATTACATTGTAAACCACTTTTGAAACTCAAAAGATTAGTAGCTTAATTCTTTTCTGGGAAATTATTATAATAAGTAGTTTTTATTCATTCTGGAAAATATTCATTACTCCATCTTGTCTTAGTAAAGATAACAGTTTACTGTAATACTCGTTACAATCATGTTACTCAGAAATAATTCAACTTAGGTCTCTATATACAAGTTTTGTGGGAATAGGTGAGTTCTTTAGAGACATGAATTTTGGGTAGACACGTGGGAGATCAGAAGCAGCTACTCCTTAAGGGTTCTAGGGCAGCACTTTTTTCAGAAAAAACCAACATCCAGAAAAGTAGCAGGAAGTATTAAACATGCAATAAATAAACTAGTTTAATTTGTGCATACCACCATTGCAATTTTTAAGGACGAATGTACTTTCATGTGTCTGCTTAAGCAAAAGATAAATGTTTTTAGAACCGGTTGCTTCATGGAATATCGCAAGCCCATCCATAGCTGGTACAGGCAATGGAAGCTTGAGGAAGGGTAGGATTACTGGGTCTTGGGAAGGTGGCATCATGCTGCTATTAGGGTTTTCACCTATTAACTAAACTAAGTCTGCACCTATTAACTAAACTAAGAATACCAACCCTTTCATCTGATTTCATAAATTACTGTTTTGTTAGATGAAAACATATTTGAAAAAAAGATCTCATTTTCATGTGAGAAAATCTGTATCTTCCATTACCAACGTAAAAGTTGCCTTAGACAAGAACTAAAATCCTGATGCATACAAATCAGTTGTACACTACATGCTAAAGTTTTCCTCAGAAATATTTTGAAAAGGTAAAATGTGGGTGATAGTTTGGACATTCATGACAGCCCTTCTAATATGAAATCCACTGGCCAATGACATGTGGGGACAGACATGAAAATGACAAGGGACAGGGAAAATGACAGGAGTGGAGGATAGTTGAGAGCATTTACAGAAATGGAGTCAGGTGGGGGCAGATCAGAGCTGAATTATTTCTTAAGCAGTATTCTACAAAATTGGACCTTTCTGAATTTTCTATTTAATTTTTGTAAATTTAGTTCTTTTGAGTAACATCTGCAACCTGATATCTTTGTAAAATTAAACTGAAGGAAAAAAACAGAAATTAACTTTCAATATAAAGGAACCATTTGATTTTCTGTGCAATTTAATCTGAACGCTTTAGAATATTACAATAGTATTACTGTACCAAGCCTACAACACTGTGACACATAGTTCAGAAGTTGGCCATTTGAAGTTGGGTTCTTCTATGAAACCTATAAATTTTCACTTTTAACACAAAAATTTACTACGAATGCAGTTTTCACACAGGTTCAACTAGTAAATATTAAATTTTGAATATTTCAATGATATATTTATTTATATTATCAACCGGAATTGTATCAATAATTTAAAGGAAAACTTTACAAATTGGATCATTAAAATGTATTGTGTACATACACACCTGATTGTGAATTTGTGATGCCAAAATTTCACATGCTTCCTTGAGAATTCTGCATGGAAGTACACTCATTGAACCTGACGTTTTCAATGTAATAACTTCTTGATAAAGTTTTGGTAGAATTCCTTTAAGATTGTGAAATTGGAGGAATCAAACCAAACAAATACACAAACAAAAATAAACGTTGATATGCAAAAAAATTAATTCAATTAGGACTATATTCCACAAATGTACAAAAATATTTCAAAGCAATTACATACCAGACTTGTTATTTGGATTCTTATTTTCTCTAGCAAGTTCTCCAATCATTTTTTTGAAATATTTTAAAGAGTATTTTAATTGTTCGGTAGCCATTTTATTTTTAAAACATTGACAGTCAGAAAAGTTTTATAAATTAAAAATATCTATTTTTAATGGTGATTAATATTACAATAGATTTATCATAAATACTAATATCCAGAAAAAACTCTTGAATTATAGCAAGTAGTCCTATATCAAATTATGAATACTCGACTATCGTTGAATAAGAACTAGTATACACATTCCCTCTGCTGCAACAGAAACAATTCCGTCTAATGTTACCATTGGTTTGTATCACTCACGGTCGCTTAAATTTAATAATAATGTCAACTGAAAATATTTAGCACAATGAAAAATGATTTTTGAATACACCAAGTACTTAATTCATTGTTTTTACACTATTACAAGCAATAACGAAGTGCAAACAAACCTCTTTTGTAAGTAGTACGAGCAAAATTGCCTCCGTTTTCGCAAATCCCCCGCTTGAATCGACGTGAAGTCCGCCAACAAAGTGCTTTCTTGTCACGTGATCGCTCAAAGAATAATATTGTTACGGATTGTTACTTTTCGCATGGCGAGTTATTCGAATTATCGTGATTATAACAAGCAAATATATGGGGTAAAAGGTTGACTGTGTAATGTGAGGCTCCCTGAATCATTAATAAAGATACTGATTTCGTCAAAAGCTTGTCTGATTCCAAGTCCTCCAAATCTGACATTTGAAAGTCATAAAGGCCAGATAAAGGCTATAGTTACAGTGCAGGAGGTTTTGTGAGTTTTGTATATATTGAAGGGAGAAAATAATGAACCTCATAGGTAGACAACTCTTGAATGTATTACGCCAGAATGTGCGCAATGTGAATAATTCTACATTTAATAGTTACATATCTCTCAAGCGTTTGTACCCAGGAAGTAACGTAAACCTTTTTACTCCACAGGTTTGTTTACTTATTCTGATTTTTTTTCTTTTTCTTGCCTCGAGGTGCATCCTAAAACTTGTTTGTACATACCTAAGGTTAAGAAAAGAATACACGAGGTTCAATTCTTGTAACTACATTTAAAATGAATGGAAAATGTTAGGTTAGGATATTCTTTTGTGGTTTAGTTGAGTCTCGGGATCGTCACTTCTTAAATATATTTTTATATGTATAAAATAACATCTATTTTTTTAGAACTTGTTTTTTGAAACTGGGAAGAAAATCCAATTGAATGTTTAGATTTGGTTTGTGTAGAGTATTATATTAAGTTTTATCTTTTCAGTTTCAGAAGGAAAGTGAAAAAGGATTTTCAGGGTTCATACCAGTAGGTAAGGTATTTAATGGAACTAAATAAAACTAAACTAATAATCTCAAAAAAGGGAGAATTATCAATTTAATTAATTACCACTCTTATTTAGATCAACTGCAGATAACCTTCAGCCGAAGTGGTGGGCCAGGTGGACAGAATGTGAATAAGGTTAACACAAAAGTTGATGTTCGGTTTCATGTAGAAACTGCTAATTGGATTAACAATGATTTAAAAAAGAAGATATTTTTAGAGGTATGTTTTAATAATTAAGTGCATACCAAACCAAACTAGCTGCCAACTTACTAATTATTTTTCAGCACAAAACCAAAATTAACAAAGATGGCTTTCTGATTGTACGTTCTGAAAAGACACGATCACAACAGCTGAATTTGGCAGATGCCTTGGAAAGAATAAGAACAATGATTTGGCAATTGACAGAGAGTGAAACTGTTATATCTCCTGAAACTGAACAAAGAATTATACGTCAGTAAGTATTCTTTGCAAGAAAGGCAGCATGTATGTATGACATTCCATTGTTTGCTCACTACCCCTGTCCAATGCCCTCCGATTTCCCTCAAAACCTCATAACTAATTCTCCCTTGTCCCCTCCATGATGGATTTTCCCCTTACCTGAATTGATGAAAAGTGCCAACTTAAATGGCTTCTTAAAATTGTATCATGTTCTCTGCTTCAGTCTAATAAAAAAATCTGATTTAATACATTGATTGTCACCCATATGAGGCATATTGGTTACACCCAGGGGTCACATCTTTGTACAGTATTCTATGAACTATATTTAAAGTACATTGATGACTTGATATCTGTTTATGTTTAGAGGGAATTTGAGGTGCTGTCACTACAGGCAGTGATTGTCGTGAAATACAGCAGCTAGAATCTCTGAGTGCACAGAGTCTGCACATGGTGTAAGGCACTCAATGTAGTAAATAAAACAGTGATTTGAATCAAAATAATTTGATTTTTGTTATTCTGATTTACATCAGCCTTGATTTTGTAATGCCATTAATATGTTAATAAAACATTAGCAATCACTTAAAAAACTTCACAAACTATGTGCAAGAGGATAAAAAAAAATTTATTTAACATTTTTAATGAAAAATTACTTCTTTCCACTGAATTGAGGGTATTGTGCTCATTCCTTACAAATCATGTAAAGGGAAAAGTAAAAACATTATTTTACTATTATGGGATTTGAACATTTGCGTTGCTGGTGAGAATCGCTTGGACTGTCTCATTGTGTTTCTTGGGTTTCGATAAATTCATAACATAATAATGATTCTCCACATTTCAGTTACGTGAAAAGTACTAAATTTTAAAACATGTAGATGAAATTATTGGAAGATCTAATATTGAAGAATACTTTGCATTAGCAAAGACATCGTTAGCTTCAATTGTAAAGATGTAAAAAGTTTTTAAAAAATTGAACTTTTGCAATTTTCAATATTCCAGATGTTACCATAAAAATCTGATGATCCCATTTTTTAATTGTCCAACTATTTACTCCAAATTTATAACAAAATATTTTTTTGCATAACATTTGTAACATTTTTCTCTATTTATTAGCCCCATTAGTTTGCTTTAAAACGTTTTTATCCCTTGTGAAATCTCCATGTTCAAATTGAATCTGTTTCAAAACTTCTGATGTTGTCTACAATTCCAAAAATCTGTAAATCCAGATATGATTACAAAGTTTAAAAAAAAAATTCTTTAAGTTCTTGGCATATTTCATAGCAGTACATGACTTTTTGCTACAAAACCATTTAAGTCTATATGGATTCTATGTTGCATTTTATAAATATTTCCCTTGAACGATATGTACATGTTTTCATTGTTTCAGCACTACTTAGGATTTGACTGGATTTAATCGAGTAGCAAAATTGGTGAATATGTGTAGGTTGTGTGGAAACTTCTGTGTGGATTTCAGATTTAAGAACTTGTCCCAAAGAGGATCCCTAAAATAGAAAAGTTATGAAAGATAAAGATAGGATAAGAATGGGTAGTAATAAACTTGAACAGAGGATGTCAATTGAATATTATTATTGAATATTAAGAACTGCTGTGTCCTTCAAGGAAATTGTGGTGATATGTTCCCTCGAGAATGTTTCTGCAGATGTAGTCAAGTCTGAAAGAACATTTATTGATAATCTTTATCCACTGAAGAGCTATTTCATTCAAAGAAGACCTATCCTAGACAGTAGTCTAAATGTAAGAAATTGTTGGGACATGGACAACAATGAATAGACCAATGTTGTACTTGTGGTTAAATATGAATATTTCGGTAAAGTTTTTGTTGAAAATTATAATATAAATTTCAAAACATCAGCAACTGATCAGCGTTCAAAGTGTACCAAATGGAAAGAAAGAACTAAAAGCGGAATATGTTTGAAAACACTTCGTTTAAGTTTGAAGAAAATATTTCATCAATAAAACCATTATCTTCAAAAGAAAATATTGGGGTTCCAAAACAGTTTAATTTTGCAGTTTTTGAAAATTCAGAGATTTTATCTGAAATCAGCGGGTGGGCAAATGGACATTTTGCCAAAATACACTTTTCAGTATTCAATTAAGTAATTTACCCATTCAGGAGCGAGAAAAACCCAACATTTTTGGTATCAGGGTACCACAAAAGTTTCTCTTTTGAAAAATTTCCTAGAATACAATACTTTCTCTTTACTACATTGAAGAACACAAGAAAGTAGTGGTGTTTCAGAATGGCACAGACTTTCTCGTAGTATAGTTTTCTCATTTCCTTGGTGTGGACATTCTTAATGGATGTGTCCCATCTCTTGCCAGCTGCCTTCTATCGCCGTCCAAAGTACATTTTTTTGGAATTTTCTCAACTTTTCAGTTTTCTGATAGTAGTACTGATATATTGCTTCACGAATATTACATAAGAGTAAAGCCTCATTCTAAATAGCAATTTTCATTGAAAAACGTAGAACCTTTTTTAAGAAAATGGTGTTTAAGTGTTACTGTAAATGCCAAATTTGAAGCTCTTTTTCACAGAATATTTTTGCGTTTTTGTAAACTTCATTTGAAGCACTTTAACTCACCAATGGAGTAGTGTTTACAGATTGCTAAAAATATGAATATTAACTCTACATGTACCCCAATCTCTCTTTCTTACATGTGTACTTTTTGGTTACTTTGTGATATTGAAATTTTGTTACATTGTCTAAAATACTTTTGTTGACAATTATGTCTTAAGGAAAGTAATAGTTTTAAGGTGTTCATCGTTTTCTACTTAAAAACAAGCACTGGGATACATTTGTCCCCCTCTTGGTATTCCGCGTCACCAATTTTTATTCCTTATTAATTATTAGAAACAGAGGTAGAAAGAGTAGAATAAGTAAGTGTTTGTCATTTACATGTAATGAACATTCAGATACAACAAAAACCTGCATCAGTTGACTAAAACACGAGTAACTCTGAAAGAAGTATTTTGATGAAGTGTATTGGTATAATAAAAGAGAAAAGTAGGAATAAAGTTATTTAATTCTATTAAATTTGTCTTCCATTATATACCAACTGCTCAAAATTATCAAATTTTAGTTAGTTTTTTCATATTTCAAAGAAATCTTGCATAATATTTTAGTGGGGTACACCTGGTGTATGCAATGGTATTCAGCGTTACATTTAGAACATGGTATGCAGAGGTTTAACAGTGTGAGAGAGACATTTAAAAAAAAATATATCTGCGTAATTTTTGAAGAAAAATAAATACTCCAAAATGAACTTTATGTCATTAAACAATTAGCAATATCCCTAGGAAGAGTTTGAAGAAAAAAAGAATTGGAACAATGTTTTAGAAAATGGCATTTGAGTGTATTTCAAACTGCAGAAATTTGAGCTCATTTTCACAGAAAACTATTGAGTTTTCAAGAAACTTTATATGATATTATTTAAAGCATTTGTATCATGAATATAATAATGAAAACAAATTGCCGCTAAATTACATATTAACAATGTATGAAACTAGTCAAAATTAATTATTTTGTATTTTGTAATTTTTGAAAAAACAAACAAACAAAAGAATATTGCACAAAAACTATTTAGATTTTCAAAGAAAAGGTACATGACCTTAATGAAAGAGATAACTAGGGTTCAGAGTTATCTCTTCTAACTAACTCAGAGTTCAATTCTGAAAATTGGACCTATGCCACCTTATAAGTGCCTTTTTACTCTATCCTCTCAAGAAATTTAAAGAAAAAATTTAAAGCCATTTTTGAGAAAATTTTGAAAATGTCCCAGGGACTTCATGAAAAGTAATCCCAAATTTTAAAGAATGTTTTTCGAAATCTCAAAGCTTTTACTCAAGTCAGATAAACCAAGGAATACCCACTTTGAAAAAAATCCTAGGCTCTTATGATGTTAACAGACAGAAATTTTGAAGAAAAAAACAACACTTCTTTGATATCAGGGGACCCCAAAATGCGTATTTCCATTCAAATCTTGAAATAGATTTTCTGCAGCATTACATAACTTTCTCTATATTAAGTATATTAGTCTTTATATACAAGAAAGTAAAAATAATTGCAACTGTTGGCTTAGTTAACATAAAGATAAATTTTGGTAAGAAAAAATGTTTTTTCAAAAGTTACCAATTTTTTGGAGTTAATAATTAATGACTTTTTTTATTTGTGTTTAGGAAAGAAAAGGCAGATCGCATTCGTCTAGCTGAGAAGCGAACAAGGTCTCGAATTAAACAAGATAGACAATTATCAGTTGTTGAAATGTAATTTTCTGTCTGTAATTTTAATAAAACAAGTTAACTAATAATACGTTTTGTGTTTTAATAATAAATATAGAAAGATGCACAATGTGCATTAGTTGTTAATAACTAGGCAAAAATAACACTACATTCATGATTTGTATGTATGTCACTGCCAATGCTGTAACATTCAATTGAATAGGTCAGGAAATATATTGGTAACCCACATGTCTGTAATTTTTGTCAGCCAAAGAAAAAATTAATTTTACAAACTTTATTTTGTAAATTCAGGAGCTGTATATACTTCTTGTTGCTTTCTATCCAAATACTAGTTCTAAAAACATGTTTGTACAGCATTTTGATCATAACATTTGTACTTGGGAGAGATTCCAAGATCTTAATTTTTTGGTAATTAGAAGATGAGTTGTGAGCAAAAATATTGTGTTGCAGCTTGAGAGACATGCCCGCTCAGGGCCTCCATCTTCCAATTGCTCACGTGCCATGACTAATGATGATGATAATGATAATAATAATAATAATAATATCTATTGAGTCACATATACAATTACAATCGTGTATGACGAGTCAATATGATGACTTGGGTGGAGAGAGCGAAGTTATATTACTGATATAGTCTGTACTGTTCATATAGTAGATAACTGTATGAAACTGTATTTTTGTTCATAACTCATGTTCTGAACATCAAAAGCACTTCAAAGTATGAGTATGGGTTTTTATTTGCACTGTCTGTCAGTAAAGTGTCTTAAAAATCTGACACCATGGGAGATGGGTGTGATTTTATTTAGCACAACTTTCCTGTTTTGTGATACAAAATCACCGTTCACACATGTGCCATGTGCTTGCTTCATGGTCTTTTGAGATTCTTTTAAAATGTTGCCCAGAGTGCCGCAACCCTCAATGAGTTTGAGGTATCTCCTATGATAGATCATTATCTGCTTCGGTAATTTCTATAGATTTTTTGGAGAAAATAACGGTCAGAAGTTGTCGTCTTCAAAAGAAAATTGTTTCTATTTCACGCCAGTGAAGATGTGTTTAGAATGTTGTCATCAGTTCTTGCTTCGCGCTTTTGCCTTCCAATGTTTTTTGTGCCAGAGAGGGGGAAGCAAGCATTGAGTAGATATATCTCTCAAATATTGTATCTCTCCTCTATGGAAGCAAGGTCATCGTTTAAGAAAAGTTGCACGAGTAATGTAATGTTATGTAATACTATTTGTACCACAATTTCTCTCCAAATTAATATATCTCAGAGACAATTTTTTTGTAAAACTCATTACAAATCGTACAACATTTGGTGCAAAAACTAAATATTTTCAAGCAAACAGTAACAAAAATTTGACAATTGTAACTGCTTTACATACAGGTAAATCATGTTCAAACAACAAGGCGTAATTCAAAAACAGTTGCCCCTCAGCCATTGTTATATTCCAATGTATTTTTATTACACTGAAAAACGCACATTTGTGCAATCTCTTTACAGATAATAAGACAATAAAAGAAAATAAATATCACAAATAAAGACTATCAAGGGGCCCCTTACAAAATTTAATCAAAAACGATGGAGCCGTTTTTTAAAATTTTGAAAAAGTCCCAGAGGCTTCGTGTAAAGTACTCTCCAAAATTAAAATATCGGTTTCAAATTTGAGCGGCCGCAACGTCAGCCGATTGGGGAAAATCAATTTTGGAGAAAATCGGCTGAACGGTTTAGCGGCTAGCGTTGTTCACATAGACGTTTTGCACAATCGATTTTTCGGTATCAAGGACCCAAAAACAGGAGAGGTTTTATTCTTCTAAATTTAGCGTCTGGATTTATCCTCTTTCTCGTTACTAGGGCCGTGCAATGAGTTTTTCTGCCGAAAATTCTCCGATTTGTGCGCGAAGTTCCGGGTTTGATCCCCGTAGAACCTCGTGTCAAATTTGTTACGACAAAACGAGTTTGCATGCTTCACAGGGGCTAACCCCTGTGAAGTGTCCTAAACCTACCTCTATCCTAATTCCTTCCCAATTCTGGCCGCTGGGTAGTGACGCAGGAGCGCGTAGTAGGAGGCGCGTTACGCGGAGATCTTACCTGGCGTCCTCGTCGAGCAAACTGACTGCGACGAGACGTTAACATTAACATTATCAGATAGTAAATAGAGGATTTCTCTATAAATATAGCCGCAAATTATCAATGGAGGATTACTCCCGAAGTGCACAGCGCTCACGCCCCCCCCCCGAGGGGGTTAGAAACGCGTTGCATCAATTCAGACGCAACAGAAAAAAATAAGACAACTTTTGAACTAAAAGGAAAGTGAAGCCAATTACTAAAGCACATTACTTTTGCCAAGTCTTTTTTTAATTAATGAATAAACATATTACATATACTCACTAGAATGCTATGTCATCTCAATGGATGGAGAATTAAATTATAAGTAATTAGAGGAAATACGAGTGCATAAACTAATACTATTCTGTGCTCTTGGGCGTTGAAATTCGAAACTCCGGAAAGGAAGAGATCCGCTAAGCTTTTCACATCAGGTTGCAAAACGGGGACTTAAATTCTTGGCTATCCGGGAGGCGCCGCGTTGTTAGCTGAGAGGCCGGCGTTTCGAAGCCATTTTTGAGAAAATGGTGTTTGAGCGTTTTTGAAAATGCGAAAATTTGAGCTTATTTTCAACTCTTAATTCAACTGTATTCACAATTAGTTCTACAATTTGAACTTTTGGTGAATTTTAATACTACACAAAAATAATTAATTTATAATTACAACAGTGATGTTGCTCAACTCAACTTAATCTGGATATGAGATCAAATGGTGAGTATCTGGCTAGTCTGATTTCTTAGCTCTTGTCTACTAGATTGAGTGCCAGGTAGTTGGGGTGGTTCTCAAGTGCCTGCAACGTAAACTGTTTATTGTTTCATTAATGGCTTTTATTTGTACGTCATTGTGAAGGATTGTATTCGGGATATACGAAGGGCAATTTGCAACGGTACGTACTAATTCAGATTGAAATCTTTGTAGGATTTCGATGTTCGAGTGGCTTGCAGTATCGCATAATTGGATACCATATGTTAAAATTGGCATTAACTGTACTTTGTAAAGCAAAGTCTTGTTTTTAAGAGTCATAGTTGATTTGTGCTCAGTAATAGCCAGTACATTTTTTTTAAAGCTTGAGTTCTAGTTCTTTCCTTTTTGCGATTATATGCTTTTTCCATGTAAGTCGTCTGTCAAAGCGAATTCCTAAGAATTTAACGGTATCCGCATGTAGCAATAATTTATTATTCATTGTAATTGAGGGAAAGTTTTCTTTTTGTAGGTGAAAGTCGCACGAGAAGATTTTGATTCATTAATTTAATTCTCCACCTTTTGAATTCCGTTGATAATTTGTTTAAATGTTACTCGAGCAATTCTGAAGTTTTTGCATGATCTTTATGAGACGTTAGAACCGCCGTGTCGTTCGCATAAGTTGCAGTAGCGATATTTGCAGACAATGTAAGATCTACTGAATATAGTAAATACAGGACAGGACCCAGCACGCTTCCTTGGGTCACGCGAGACATATTGTGCTGAATGCTTCTTGATGTTTCACTTGAAAAAAGCTTTCAGAGACGTATGATTTTAAAATGAAGTATTCTGATGGTAAGAAGCTTTTGATTTTGTATACAAGACCAGTATGCCACACTTTATCAAAAGCTTGGATGAGATCTATGATGCGACTAAACAGTATTTGTTTGCTTTCAAGCTTTTATTTATTTCGTTTACTATTCTATGTACTTGTTCGATTGTGGACTGAGATTTCTTGAATACAAACTGATAACTAGGTATAAGATTGGTTTCGCTTATGTGGTCACGTATTAACTTATGTTTAAGCGTTGCAAAAACATTTTCTCAAAAGCCTTCGAGATTGTAGATACGAGATGGCTGTATGACGTCGTCGAGTCGTCGTATGTGGGTTTTGGTATAAGAATTACCTGAGATCCCATCATTTAAGGGTAATCCCCAGTTCTTTAAATAGCGTTGAATATTGGTTACTAGTACGTAGCCTTACGCAATTTCTTCGACACTTTATTAAGTTATAACCTGGGACTTTGTTGGAAAGTTTTCTACTTCGTATGTCTACTCTTTCTACTTCGTATGTTGTGAATGTCTTCACGGCAGTAACATTTCTAAGAACGTTTGAAGATATGTCACTGTTTCAAGTTTCGCTTCTGAGTCAGTGGGTTGATATGGTTGGAACACCTTTGCAAGATGTTGCGCAAATGTTGTTGCCTTCTCTGTATTACTTCTTGCCCACGAACCATTATCTATGCATATAGAAAGGATTGGTTGAATTGATCTTTTAAACCTTCTAGTTGCCTTTCACAATGCATAATCTGATTCTTTACCGGGGAATATATTCTTAAGATATGTATTTATTTCAACATTCTTCAGTTCTTGACAGGCAAACCTTAAATCCTTTGTTGCTCTGTCCAGATGTCTCTTTTCAAGGGGATGCCTTGTTTCTTGATAGATTATTTTTAATTTTCTTTCGATGAAGTCTTTTTCTTTGGTATATTAAGGATAATATACATTATATTTAGAGTTAAAATTTGGAATGGAATACCATGCCGCGACTTGAATACATATTGTTAGGCGTCGTCTACTTCATCTTTGGTCTTCAATGGAATTTGAACCATTAGATTCTCTGTGGTCTGAACTGAAATCTAACGAGGCTTCAATTTGTACAAAGTTTTATTATTTTATTTATTTACGTGACAAACAGTGACGTGCTATGGAGAGAAGTTAATTTGAAGTTACATATATATGTTCAGATGTAAAACAAGGAGCCATCTCAGTATTTGCTCAAGGATCAGGGAAACTGGACGAAAACCTGATCGAGATGGGCGTCATTGATCCAGAAGCTGAAGTACAACACAAGTTGTAGGAAATGATCTTCACAGTAAAGAAGTCTTGAAGGTCAGGAATTTAGCAGGTAACTGAAAAGTGACTCGATCAGTATATTCAGCTGTTGCGTAACAGCTGCGTTCAAATCGCGCACTCAATTTTGTCTAAATCTCTTCAGTATTGGTGCAAGTCAACACGAGCTCGGCAATAGTTTCTCCTAGTGCACTTACTAACAAACTTGCTGCTTTTGCGTCGCCTTTTTTTGCATTGCTGAACCGTTAACAATGTTTTCAAGTTCATACGCACGCAACACCATCAAAAAGTGTCACTTCCTCTTTCCTAGTCTTCAGGTTCTTCAACCTTATCCACTTGTATATTGAAGTCCCTCCCGGTAGCCATGTTTGTTGTTTACATCCATCTTGAATATACAAAGTAAAAGTATTTGATGAGGCTACGAAATATTGTTTATATAAATTGGGAGAGCATTACCAGAAACTGCAACGAACATCGCCTTTTCCATCGAAAATTCTCAACAGACGAGTGTGTTCTGGAAACGAAATGATACATAATTGACAAAGATTGTTACTTTACCGAAAGAATCAATGGGTATTGAAGAGATTGTCATGGTTATCTCTGTCCAGACGAAATTAACGTTTTCGATACGAGTTTCACGTTTTACTGC